TATGATTGTTCACCCAAATTTAGCTGTTGAACTTTTTCCTGCTTTTAAGTTAAATTTTAAGACGTATAAATATAATCGATCTCTCTTTCTCTTTCGCTGCTATCCACCAATGCTCCGAGAGAGAGACGGTACAACTTTTACCTTAACTTTTCCAGCCCGCAGCCAACCTCCGACGTATAAGGGATGAAGTACGGAATTCCCAAAGCGATTCTCACGAGCTATGGGAATATTTACTTCGAAGTTGAACGATCTAACAGTTCGCGAGGATATCCTCCCTCGCTCTCGCATATGTATTGAAGTTATGTGTTATTCCTATGTGGCTAGAAGTACGTATATACTCGTGACTCTATGTTAGAAGCGAAATTAGATTTTCACCGGGTTGCCGCTTCACTATTTTCGCGGTCGATCTATTTTGGAGACACTCAAAAACTTTGCCGCCTTCCGACTGTACGGTTTGTGTTCACTTTTTTTAGACGGGTTACAGCACTTACTTTTTTTTTACAGTAACCCATAATAAAATTACGGTTTACAAGGAGGAACAACAAAATCAACATTACGATCGTCAACGTGAGATTTTTCAGCGGTTTGGCATTTTTTTTTTACGAAGTTTACACAGTCTCTATCGGCGAGAGCGAAAGTAACGGATAGAAGGGGGAAAAAAGAGTATTCGGCTATGGTAAAAGCTATTTTTATCAAACTATTAATTTTTATAGAGTAATTCTAATTTCTAATGGTCTCCCTCTACAACGACTGGGAATTTACGTATTTAAAACTGCTGACGTTTTACCTACCGCGACAAGCCGCCCAAGAAGCTCTGGCTATTGACTTTCACGAATTCTACCAGTTTCCCGTACTTTGTACTATCATTAATCGTACGGTGATGTAATATCTCTAACGGATGCCACCAAGTAATATCGCCGGCCGTGACAGGTAATAAACGCGATGATGTTGAAAACGTAGAAAAATGTCGAAAACACGGGAATCAAGAAATAAAAAGTCAACACGCTCATTCACGGCAGTCATTCAAAGACTAACAGCAATCTTAAGTAACAGTTGGGGATATGAATTTAAATATTAAATGATTGAAATAAATACAAACCTAGTCGCGTAATGCTCGAAGAGCTTGCTGTGAAAAATAATTTTGTCACGATGAAATATTATAACGAGATCCTTCGATGTTAACGGACGCTTCGAATTTAATTGACGCCGACGATCCCCTCGCGTCACGCCGAACCCAGTAAACTCACGCAACGTAATCAAATCACAGTGCACTGTCGCGCGTAACCAAAACACAATAATAAAATCAAGACGAGTTAAACGCACCACGTGGTCCGTAGCTTTTCAATCGAAAGCGTTACGAAACGATCCGTACTGCTCGAGAGCTCGCTGCTCACTGACTACGGGGTGAACTTGCTGTCACGTTACCCCCTCTCTTATAGACATGCTTGGTTATCCCCACCACTTCTACACGCACCAATCACCCTGTTTTCCTCTTTGCATATTCTATTAAGTCGCGTATCCTGCGTATCTTCTATTCAATTTTTTCTTCTTTTATTCTCAAACGTATAATACTCATGTACTATGTATCCTCGAATAATAAATAAGGAAAGAGAATCCCCTTATCGGTATCGGGAGGGTCTTACGGTCTTATGATAACTGCTAGTACTTCTTGCGCAATTGAGAGCATTAATTAAAAAAGTTTTAGCAGCCTTGCATTATTGATGCAAGATTATTGGGCACGTATAAAACTCACAAAAGTATATTAATCACCGTGGAGTGCATTGATTCGCGTTTCATGAGTAAATTATTTATACAATGCGTGACATAGATACGTGAAAGGATTTCACTTATGATTTTTTAACCTATCGTAGCATCTTTTGACCAGTGGACGAGCAGACTGAAACGACCTGTAAAAATTTTATACAATTTCGCATAAGCGATTCTCGTGCACAATTTTTAAAGATTTCACGCGCACGTAGTAACGTTGGGTCAAAGTGCGCTTGTAACGTGCTGCTACTAGTGAATATCAAGGATGAGACAGAAAAAGACGGTGGAAAAGTACAGGTGCCTGGTAGATTTTCATGACGAGACCCGCCAACAAAATAGTTTAGAACGCCCGAATCTTCGAGCGATTTCAGAAAAATTTTCGTGTTTGTCCAGACTCGTCTGCATACTAAACAGCGCAAAAGTATGGCGTCTCTGCAATTCTTTCCCTTTCACGTTTTTCAGAGCGCGTTATCGCATTGGTAAGCACACGGGTTACAACCTCCTTTCTCGCATGGAATAACGAAAAATTTTCTTTTTACTCATTGAATATGAGAAAGAAAAAAGAAAAAAATATATAAACGACCTTATTTATCCAAATCCCACGTTTTCCATTATCCGTATCAAATTAATCAGCATTTTTGTCTTTTTTCCCATTCAAATAACCCGCGCTTGCACATTTCTCGCTTGAGGCCCTCTATATGCATGAGGAAAAGTTAGTTTCTCTCGCGCGCCGTAGCGAGCGTAACTGAACGTAACCTACGTAGGCAGTGCTGTGCGCGTCAATACGAAACGGTGCATAGAAACGATATATATACCAGTTTACAGTAGCAGTTTATAGCGTGCGACGACGTCTATTCATTTTTTGATGACACGTCTCTAAAGTTCAAGCCAATGCGCAGATATGACTTTCAACGTTCCTTCTACACAGTGTGCGGGCACGCCATGGCGATATACGAGCAATTTAAATTTAATGCTACTCAACGGGCCCTCAATGCGTTTCGTGGCGATTCTTATCGCAAGATTGCGACTTGAAGGGAGCAGCGACAGCTCTTCGTGTTTTTTTTCTTCGACGATGAAAAGACGCCCAGCGTCGTCATCGTCGCTGCTTGGAGATCGGCACTGAAGAAGATAGCCACGAGACAAAAGAAAGAGCCAACCAGTCACTCCGGAAAAATCCGTTAAGGCGGTCGCCGTAAAAGCCTTGTTCTATAAATACATTTTTCGTTGTTCCTTCATTTTCTCATTGTCCCTCTCTCTATCTTAAGCCGCGTTCACAGTCCGTCGCTGCACGTATAGCTGGCGACACCTCGTAAAAGCAACACCCTCGTCAGCAATCGGTTGGAAAATTGTGACAGTTTTCTAAAATGAGGTTATGAAAAGAAAAACAATCCTGGACAATTTTTATTTTAAACATGGTGGCAGTGATGTACAGTCTCATCGACACTGGATCACGTAACGTAATCTTGTACAATTACTTTCATAAGTTTCTTCGATTAAATTTTTGTATTAAACATTTTTAATCTCAATGCCGTTACTTACTTTATTTCTCCGCTACGTATTATCCTGTGCTCGCGTCTGACGATCATTTGTATTTGTTGTAATTCGGTAAGTAAATTTTCCACGCTTCAAGTTCAGCTTGATTGACGCAATAAAAATCCAAACCCATGTCTTACGTACGTCTATGTAAATTAATTCGATAATCAAATGAAGAAAAATAATACAGAAGCAATGCGATTAGATAATGAACAATTGTCTAAACAATAAAGTCACCCTATATACGTTTGTCTCGCTTACAGCCATTTGGGTAATGCAAAATACGGGGAATCGTCGTAATTACAAATGTGGTTTTGCAGGTTACGACAGCAGCGACTGGAAGTCAGTGAAATCTCGTATCTGTCAGAAATTTCGCATCTGTGTAAAACTCACGTAAACAATATCGTACTGACTTAACGTATTGTTCTCGCTGGAATATATTATTTTCAGGTTTCGATGCAAATTTCATAACAATGAAACTATTCGTTTTCCCTGTTCTTTGCACACGAGGAGAGGACGTTACTGGGAGGTACAAATAATGCTAATTCCCAACGATACGAGTCGTGCAAATTCAATTTGTTAAGTCAATGAGCCACACTTGATTATACGTGCGTACACATGTCGTACAGTGTCAATAAATAAGGAAGCGTTAACGATAAATATTTTGAACATTTTATTGACATATAGTGAACAAAATCATTGTAAGAAAAAATTAATACTTGAATGACAATTGTAGATATTAGAAACTAATTTAAGAAAATCTAACAAAACTGTGTCAGGATGCTCTGTGTGTTAACGTCGCTGTTACTAATTGCCTAAGCGCACGGCATTTTCTACTTCGTGCACTTTGCCCGTAGTTCATAGATATGCCGCGGTTGCGTATTAGATTATTTAATAATAAAAAAAAAAGAGAAAAAAGCAGCGACTTATCTAATTATGTCAAAGACGTTAGTCTAAATGCTAAAGTGTCTGGCGTACGAAGAAAACGTTTTAAATTTATCTTTAAGCGACATTTTCACGTCAATAAATAACGCGATAGAACTTCACGAGGCCATTTTCATTATTACGACAAATCCGGGTACTTCGTAGATAAATATCCCTTCGTGTTCTAGTTATTTTATTAAATTCTTCAAGGCCAACCGACACGACGTTCATCCACTTCTGATAACAATTGTCTCGACGTACGATTGAATTATTAGCCTGCCGGAAAAATTCCAAGATTTAGCGATGAGTTTCGTGATGTTATGAAAAAAACACGTGGAATAATAATAATATTGTATTAATGAACTGGAAAAAAATTTGTCAGGAGACGATTACGCTATATGCTGTTTTTATAAGGTGATCGCGACTGTGCGACGGCATTAGCAATATTAATTAGTTGATAAGGATTGGCAATTACTGATAATTAAAAATAAGTAATTTTTCGATTTTTGCATGTTCCAAGGATTTTCAATACGTTTGTACAGTTAAATATATGCTTAAAGAATAATAAAGAACCAATGAAGTCATCGTAATGATTTTTTTATTGACTTTTATTCGAGAAAGTGGTCTGGAAAGTACTACATGTTATTATTAATTGCATGGACTCAATTTTTGTATGCGTTAACTAAATACATATGTCAGTGCAAAGACTTTCAATGGACTTTTCAAAAATTTTTTATCAATGATTTTTTCGATTTGAGAGTTTGTTGATCGAATACTTATCTCGAGCTTTATATAAATTAATAAATTTGTCTCGCTTGTTATTTTTGTTTGGTTATAAACATTTTTATACTTTACGCTCTTTTCTATTCAACAGCAATTGATTCGCTTTGAATAGATGAAGATGTCTATTATTCGCGGGCTAATTAGCCGTGTACACTACACTGCATTTAACTGACAATTAGCCGTGGGCAATGACGTAATTTATCATCACAATAGGCAGACGTCAAATTGAAATGGAATTTGATTCCATCAAATCATTTATCAGTATTCGATACTATTTCTGGTGATTCATTAGGTATTCGATAGATCAGTGAGATTGTTAGAGAGAAATGCTTTAAATATTTGGTATAATGAGGAACTACTAATTACGGATGCAATTAAAATAGCAAGATAATAAAGGCTTACCGTACGTAAAGGCGTAGTGAGCCACCGATGTAATATATTAGGACTTTTCCTATTACTGTTTCGGAAGCTATCTTCGATAAGAGAGCTCACTTCTTTTTTTATGATTTTCTTCGATTTTGATACCAACGAATTTGCCATTTGTTGGTAAAACGATTGATCTTTATATTACGGAAAAAGTTATGACTAACACTGATAGATGGAGCCTGTATTAATTATTACTTTAGTGACTTTCTGTTCTTGTATTGGTATCTCAATGTAAATTAGTGGGTCAGATTTTTGACATCCGAAAGCAGTCAATTCTTGACAATAATTGTATCATTCTTTTGAATTTCAGTACGTGAATAAATAATATTAGTAACTATTCTTTTTGTCTGGCTGCCATGTATTGGGGACAAACTGGTGGGACATAGAGTACAGTAGAAAATTATTGATCAGGATATGAAAAAAAGAATGCACTGTTTTACAGTGATACGTGTTGTACTACTGATGATTTGTAATATAAAATGATTATCATTGTTGTGTTTTCAATGAGCTGTATGGAATTAAAGGGTGAACTGATAAAGAGGCCACGATAAAACTGGATTATGTTAATTGTGTAAACAAGGATATTGTTGAAGGATACTGAAAGTAAAAACGTAATGGGGTCTGAACAAAGTTCTCAAGGAGCTGGAGCACACAGTGCCGATGGAGGCAGAACTAGAACTGTACATCTACGAAGAGGAAAGAGCGTTCCTAATCGTGAGAGACTTCCTGATGATACACCTCCAAGATGTACCAGTCCAGGACCAAGCATTTGTTCAGACTCAGATCTCCCTTATATATCGTATACTGTTAATAGACCAATTGGAGATTCTCCAAAAATGACTAATAAGCAGTCACAGCTTCATCGAGGGAAAAGTTTAGGTGGCCAGGAGATATCTAGACGAAAGTCTAGTCTGGTAGCTATAGGACACAGGAAGCCTTTGTCAGACAAGGCACATAGTATTGTTGTGGTAAAACCTGCAATTTCTGATCCAACAGCTGATAAGGATCCAGATCTTGTGAAATTACAGAGCATTCCAATGTTCCTTCCGATAATGCGTGGAACATTAAACCTTCCTCCTGGAATTCGAGATCCTGAAGTCTTGGAAAGACTTGATCCTATTGGATTGTTCAATCTTTGTGCAAGATATCAACATCATTTAAATACTAATGCACAAATGATCACAGGAGAACAATCAGCTTTATGCACTAATATTGATGCAGAAATTATTAAGATTCTCAACTTGGCAGTGGAAAGGCAGAAAAGATTTTCTAAATTTGCAGAACAACTTAATAAGGTTCATGAATTAAGCAGACAGTTGACAAAGTGTCATGTACAACTCAATCAGACTTTAGAGAGTATCGAAACATTGAATAATTTACTGCCTGTTGAGGACAGGCTCGAACCCTTCGTATGGACTACTGGCTAAAATGTATCTTGAATTACAAACTTTCCTAGTTATTGGAAAATGGTTTCATGGATTTGGATTTATATTATGTTGGGTCTATTTCTTGTGTAATTACCACAGTTGCATAATAATAAAAAATGTTATTTAATTGCGAGACTAAGAACAGCATTTTTACGATCCTAACGATTTTTGAGCTTTAAGTTTTCGGTAAGCAGCTATGACTTCCGACTGCTGCTTGTCCAATATTCTTCGTTCTGCTGCTGGTAAGTCTTTACGTTTCCCAGTTCTGTCTACAGTATTAGATTTTGAGGAGCTTACCGTATCTTTTTTGAAGAGGGAATTTAGCAGAAGATCTTTCTTTCCTGACTGTAACAAAAGTTATAATTAATATCAATATGTATAAAACTGATGTGCATTTCATATACCTTTGCACTATTAATTTGCTCCATTTTTCCAGGTCGTATCCGAAGTTCTGGAGGTGCATGCACAATATCTCCAAACTCGACTTTATCTTCAAATATTTTAAACTCATCAATATTATCTTGAAGTTTCTTTTCTTTCTTAGCTTCGAGTTTCTGCTTTCTCTTCTGCGCCTTAGTAAGTTTCACTTCATTTTCAGATACCTTCTTCTTCTTTTTTGTGTTTTTGTGTTTCATTTGCAATTTAGCTAATTCGTCTAGTTCATTTTTGGGTGTTTCCGTAAGGCCCTCAATCTTTCCAGTTTCTAAATTTCGTTTAACTTCAACTCCATATTTCTTTTCGAACTTCGTTTCTTGAAGAAATGCTTGAGTTTCTTTACTGACCCTGCTCAAAAAAGCACGTCCATCTTCCCCAGGTCTTTGAGAGAATATAGGTACAACTTTATCCGGTCTAGCTTTAGGATGTATCACTTTCGAAACCTGCTTTCCTACCTCGATCAGTCCAGTCTTATTCTTTTTTCGTTTCTTCTTTACCTTCCTAATTTTTCCTGATTTAACATCCTCCTTAAGCTTGATGACTCTAGCCAAACTCTTCGGTATAGCCTGTTCATTTACATCTTTTGGCGGAGCATTTATTTTCGTTTTCAACCTACAAAAAGTACATAAATAATACATTCTATAAACCAAAGCTAACCTAGTATAAAATTAAATAACCTATATAAGAATTATAGTATATTACAAGAAACTATTTACTCTTCAAATCGCCTTGCTTGCTGTTTCGCTGGATCCTTCACACCCCGATGTTTTTTTCCAGGTATTTTCCGGCCCATTGTACTTCAAAAATAAATCTTTAAATTTAAATTCAACAAAACATATCCTCAACCCACGTGGGAAGTCATACATTCTCATTCATGAAACCATATACCAACAGCAGGTACATCAGTTATAACATTAAGTAAAAAACAATCACGTCGCGATTCATTACCCAGGAAATCACACCAATAAAAAAAATATTAAATCCCCATAAAGTGTACTTGAAATTAATTAAACCCTGTCAATCAATTCATAGCTACAAGTACAAAATTGAAATACATTAAACTTCTCGCGCTTGCGCACACCGTCAATAATGTAGGACAACAAAAGATGACCCAGTCTTACTATCGACGTTAGAGAATCGTCAGCAATGTGTTATGAGGTCTTCCGATTGCAATGAAAATTGAAATAAACCGAGACAGAAGACGTGCGAAAGAAATTGGCAAGTAGTAAAAGTCAATATCACTTAAAAAAAGAATCTACGTCTCTTCGAGAAGAGATGAAAAACACAAGGTCTAATATCTATTCATAACAATTCCTACCAAGATCAGTGCTTACTTGACATGACATTGATCGACTGATCTTCAATCGTGATCCACGAAATGACGCGTTTGGCTCGTTTACTTACATTCATCCCAGAAGGACAAAGATGCAGTCATTATGTGAATACATTTACAATCCTGAGAATGTCCAGTAATGTCGACGAAGGATCCAAGAATAAGACAAATAAGTTATCGAATGACAAAACAACGGAGACTGAGAAAAAGTATAAGCAGAGAACAAACGAAGAAATAGATGAATTAGTGGCACCAAACAATTGTTGTATGTCGGGCTGTGCAAATTGCGTGTGGATACAATACGCAGAGAAACTGAGCAACGTGCTGAGAACAAGTGACGCGGACGTCCAGAAAATAATAATGGACAAAGTGGAAGATCCAAACATGCGTGTATTCCTGTCAATGGAATTGCATAATCGCAAAATGTCTGATAAATGATACGAACGCTAGACATTGTAAATAATTAGATAAATATTTTGTCAAACTATACTAGCTTTATATTTTTATATAATATCCTACAAGATAAGCGCGCCTGTGCCTCAGGTAATTAGATATACGCCGCATTACGAAACTGTACTATAAATACTCTATCACGCAAATGAACCTTGCAAAAAAGATATAAATATATTCTGTAAATACTCTTACATATAATATTATTCTATTATCAATTAAATCTTGTCCTAGATATAAGTGTATGGGGGAATGCGGAAAGGCCATCCACTCTAGAGATACCAATGGAGTTAGTTGATTTTAAGGGGTAACACCACTGTAAACACCAGAAAAAAGGCGTTTTTTTGGTAATTTTTTTGACAAGGAAGGAAAGGTAGTAGAATAATAATATTTGGTGGAGTTATTAACATTATATTTAAGTACAAAAGGAAAAATTATGATACAAATATAAATAAAAATGCCGACACTAGAGCCATTTGCCCGAGGCACGTTGAACTTGAGGCGCTCTGCGGCACGGCACGCAGTGTAGCTATGCAGATTTTAACCTTGAATAAAAAAAAAATTCCACTCAATCTTCATGACAATAGCTAGAGAACTGCGTAAGGGATTTTAGAAATATTGATTTTTGAGCAATTGGCGAGTGTTTGAATGAAGTCGTTCATTTTTTGTCGAAAAAGATGACATTCATTTGTTTATAAAAAATGTTTAAATCAATTTATTCAAATTCCCCTACGTACTTCTCTTTAACATATAATTTTAAGGATGTGGTTAAAATGTGGAATGAAAAGGATGAAAATTGTTGAAGTTATGCTGCGTGCCGTTTTGAAAAATGGTTTTTCGAGAAAAACGCTTTCAACGTTTACAAATAAGTTTTAGACGTGAAAATATTGAAAATTCAGTCAATAAAAATTTTTTACTATCAGTCTGTTATCCCAGGACCATAAAGTTGTCATAAATTCAAATATTCATCCTCGTTTTCTTTTCTTGAGGATTTGATGCTACAGCGTGTCTCTTTTCCCTCGTCCGTCAAAAAATGCTCGGCGTTCTCATGGCATCGGCTTCCAAGCAGAAATTGTAAGACTGGATGCCGATATCCATTTCCAAAATCTTCATAATTTGCAAAATGCTAGTAAGTCCATTATTAAAATTGCATACAGCCAAATCCGTTGCTAGATCCAATACTGTTTCGCCACTCGAATAAGATTCTGGAGCCAGTTTCGAAACGGTAGCATTGAAGCTTTTGTTACTATTCTGCGTGTAGCCACCCAAGCAACGATTTAAAAATTCATCTCGACTCAAATCCTCATAAATTGGTTTGATAGCATCAAAAACAACTTTAGAAAGTGCCGGCCTATGATAGTAAGTGTCCAAGGTATCCGCTGACTCTGCCTTCTTCCAGTCACACCAAGTATCTGAGCATTTCTGGTGTTGCGGATTTTCGTCGGTTGATAATTTATGAAATAAGGTTGCCCAGATTTCTTTTTTCATATTCTCCAAGGAGTTTGCATTCCGACGTATTGCCAATCCATAATAAACCGTCAATTGATTGATTAATTTGGCTGTTAATTTACCTTTTCCTCCGAGGCCTTTCACTGTTTTCTTCAGATTTCTTAGACGAGTACTCATTATTTTTTGTACGTCATGGATACATTCGTTCTTTTGTACTTCAAAATTTCCACCGGAAACAATTATCTCTTCAGACTGTCCTATTTCTTCACTTTCCTCTTTTTCTTCTTGTGCTTCTTTTTTTATGTTAGCGTCTCGTACAGACTTTGCTGCGATCGAAATCATATTCACTATGTTATCATAAAAAGATTGAAATATCGGTCGTGGCAATTCCATAAACGCACAAAATTTCGTAATTCCAGTTAGCCCTATTCCAAGTAGTCGCATTGCCAACACGATTCGACGGTTTATTTCATATGCATTTTGTATTAATTTACTACTTGGAATTTCAACATCTGGACAATTCGGGCAAGCAATAACTATTTTGAAGCCTAAGCCCCGAGGACTTCTCTCTTGAAACGAGATGTTCGAATCACATTTTTTGCACTTTACATGTTGAGCAATTGTTGAAAAAACAGCAATAAAATTTATAATTCTGTAACCGAATCCATAATTTACATCAAAATCGTCTGAACACACTTTTAATTTCTTCGCTGAGGCACTGACTGCTTCCGTGTTACCCTCAGCCTCGTATCCATTCAACAGTCGTCTCGATAATACACTACTCCGACACCTCGTTGGATACGAATTTTTCGTACCTTCCTTGCCCAAATAAATGTTTGTATCACTCATTATTATTTCAAGAGCATTCAGAAATACAAAATAACTAGTACTATTATAAATAGTTAGTGTGAAACACAACAACTTTCATGTCAATCGAGAAAATAACCAACGCTTCTACAGTTACTGACGCTTACTGACGCTACACTAACGCACTTTTGTTTGAAAATCCTATTGATTGCACCCAAACACTTTCTAGTGACATCTGTTAGGGTACTGGAGATGTTCAAAATCAAAATGTAAAGCATAAGGTTGTACCTTCCCAGTAGGTATCTATCCGACGCAGTTAGTCGTTTCGAAGTGGCCCGACGCGCTCGGAAAATAGCTCAAAATTTTGAGGAAATTTTTTTTCCGTTATGAGACTTTTTGCCCCACATTTTAGAGGGTCTACAGTATTTTTAAGCCAACAAAAAAAAATCGACTTTTGAAAAAATTTACAGTGGTGTTATCCCTTAAGCTAATAAGGTGAACGGTCCAGTTATTATCAGTATTCAAATTGGTAACGAATTAGTCGAATTTTCGATACAAAATTATTTTATAATTACTCTACGCGATTTTTACATTTTTGCAAGTTACTTGCCGCTTATCATGAAGCTGCTTTGACCGATCTGGATCAATTTTTCATAGTTATTCTCTAGAACCCTTTTAGGTACAAAAAGTCCGGTCAACGAGTAATTTATTTCAGTAGCACTGGATATTAGTACATAGTATTATATTTGGTATCCTATGTACATGTACCTACCTAGCCGTCAAATCATGTAAATATATAAAGTACATGAGAAAGGTGTAGAGGAGCCGTACGATTTTATTTACAAATCGTACCATTTCGATTTACTTTCTCGACAGAGGAAGATTTAACAGGCATCGTGTCCATTTTGTATATTTATTTGAAAGCAGGAGACGTTAAAGCAGCACAAACTGCTGCACTTCTTTGACATGGCCGTACTGAGCTCTGAGGATGTGTCAGTATACAAAGAAATCTAGAAACGTCACTGTCGCCATCTCTCAGGTATCACACGAACTAAATTAAATTTTCTTTTCTTCTACTGTCAATCTATCCCGACCTAGTACCTAGGACTACTACTTTTATACTTAAATACTTGATCCTCTTCCAAGAACGCTTTACGCGTATAAGCACGATGCTTAGACGAACAAATAAATATCATCGATATAAAATTCTACCAGCCTTTTAAAATTGTATCATAATTTATTCTACGGCGTTATTTGTGACAACTAACTTGGTTTAAATTTTTGTTTTTGAACTACAGATCGCAGAGTCTGAGAATGTTTTAATAATGAAATTTACAGTACAGAAGAGACTTTTTTATTTAAATTTTATACTCGATATCTTATTTTAGAATGGACTTTATGAGGGTTAAGATTTTCAGCGGGATAAAATATGACAGTTGCTACGATGTTTCAGTCACACCTTGGAAAGGCTTTATGTTAAATTTATTGCGTACAAAACGCTACATAATTAGTTTTATCGACGGACAAACTATTTTAATTTTAAAGATGGTTAACAGGTGGCACCGCTATTCTAGCTAATCCATTATAGTTCGATATTTATGTATGTATCAACTCGTGTGTATTTAAGCGAAAGATTAATAGTTTACAAGTGAGAGGCAGTTTCGTTAAAAATCGACTATTTCTGTTTGTACGAAGTAATTGGGATATAAGAAGATCATTACGTAAGTACCATTAATATATTAATATACTGACCACGTGGTTTGTAATTTTATGGTTTGTAAATAATGACACGACACAATATTCGTTCATACACAATAAACGCATCCCTGTAAAAAATATTAGTCTAAATATCGTCCAACTATTTAAGAAAATACAATATCCGACAAATATTTGTTGGCTGGTCAGGTACACAAATTAAATTGAAGGTTAACCAGCGGTATCCCGACTCGAAGGATCCAATTCGTTGGCCTTGAGCAACCAATCACGAATAAAGAATTATCACTGAAAAGAAAAATTGATTTAAAAAATTCTCCAAAACTCGTCTTCCAATGAAGCGATCTTATCAACGAGACAGCTGTCCTCGTACAAATAATATAAAAATATTCCAAGCAGACAAAAATGAAATCTCCAAATCGTACAGAATTTTTTCATTTTCTACATGGCAACCAATCTCCGACCAGACCGCGAGAACACGAAATCTAATCAGCAAAGCACAGGAAAGGTTATAGCGACCGTAATATTTTCATCACGTATGTCAACCATACGTGAACATATGCCCAACCGTATTCGTACGTATAAAAAATAAAAAATCAATCTGCAATATTGTTAATAGCAAACAAAAAAAAGCTCAAATACATATACATATATATATCCACATAAACATCTGTTCAAAGTATACCATATTAGTTAATAGGACTACGAAAAGCATGAATGTGACGTATTCAAGCGAGGAGAACATAAGAGACTAACAAGAATGAGAAAGAGAGAGGTAAGTAATAAAGGAAAAAGATAAAGGAAGAAAAATGGAGAGACTAAAAAAGCCTCGAAAGAGACTAGAACGTCCGTAGCCTCTCTTGGCTGTTTCTCTTTCGCGTATCGGAACTTGTGGCCGGACTCTCCCGTGCGTGTAATGCACGCGTGTCCGTTTCACGACACACGTGGCTGCTATACATGAAGGCTCGAGCTATATTCATGCGTGTAGATTATTTTCGCTTTATGCCGGCGCCCGCAATCTCAGAAGTGGTTCTCGCGTTGACAGGTTCCGAACGTGGATCGTCCGTACGTTCCGTTTCTGCGTTCCTTCCGAGCTGCTAGAATATCGAAAGCCTAAGAGGGAGACGCATATTGCGCCGTTTTCTTGAATATTAATATTTTTTATTTATCTTACGAGCCAGTTTTCTGCAGCAACTGTTGTTTGTGTTAAGTATATAGATAAATGCCGAAAGAGTGTTCAGTGATGCGACGTCAGACGGTCTTCAGTGTTTTTGTTAATTGAGAATTGGTTTGACAACATTTTTGGTAGTAAGAGAATTTATTTTTTATCAAGTGGACAGTTGTGTTATCTATTGTTGTTGACTCTGGTGAGTGTTGAGTGGTTGAGCTGTGAAAGAAATTTTGAGGTTATAACACGTGAAAAATATTTGTCTTACAAAAATTGTCGATTGAAACGTGATGATTTTTAAGAAAAATTAGTGTCTCTCTACTGGTGTTCAGGTGATTCGTGGGTGAAAGTGAATGTAAAATTTTGGCGGGATTTTTAAAATAATTCGTGTGTATCGCTGCTGTTCACTTACGATCCACATATTAACGCGATACGCCAGAAAATTCTCGAAGACAGTGATGGATCGTAGGAAAATGGATTATTTGAGTGCAAAAAACGTTAAGGTGATTCGCGAGGCGGAGAGTATCGAAGTGTTTCCATGAAAGCGTCGGCCAACGACGACGCTTTTCGTCGGACTGCAGTTTCACTGGTTCTTTTGAATTAACTCTTACATAACTGTCTGAGAGTCATTAGTATAATTTCGATTTTCATAAAGCTGCATTCTTATCGAACGACCATTAAGGTAGTTTTCATAGACCGATCGTCAATTGACCCAAAGTCCGAATAGTTCGAGTAATAAATGATAAACCTCAAACACAATTCTGCGAATCTGATCCACGGAGAGTCGTAGTAAAGTAAATTCAATAATAAAAAAAGAAAAACGCCAGTGACTTTTAGAAAATTAAAAAAAAAACGAAGTGTCCGAAGTATATCGTTAAGTCAAAAAGAAACAACGGCAAAACAATCCTGACTCATAGACGGTTGTTGCCGCATTATTTAACAGCTAAATAAATACGTGACTAAATCCATATAAAAAGAGACCGTATCAAGAGGCTAAAAAGTAAAATATAACTGATTGAATTTTACACTCTTTCCCTCAGTTTGCCAACACAACAACAAAGTCCGGAGCAATCCGTTGGTTTAAGATCATCGAAATAGGAGAAGCTGCATCGTTCAAAGCTGATCCTCGACTCCGTCAGCAATAACTTCCCGACGTCTCGGGTCGATCAAAGAAGGATTTCTGAAAAGATCAAAAGACTTAAATATCTGATATCGCGTAGGGATCTTCCTTATCGACGTGGCATAGAAATCGAAAGTAGTCAAATATAATTCCACCCGGCAATCCCTTGGCAGCCGTACGAAAATTATGAGTCGAGACCGGAACGGTTAGTCGCGTCGTACAGGATGCTCGGCACGGAGAATAATTCGTTAAAAGGTTCAACCCAGGAGTTAAAGAAGACATCGAGTACCCCGACGCCCTGGAGCGAACTCCTGGTAAACTCGGCAGTTCCAGCAGCCGCCGTCGCCGTTAAGCTCTGCGAGGATTCGGCAGACGAGACAGTCAAGAATGTCGCCGTTAAGGATAAACCAGGCGTACTCAGCAGCTTCCATAGCAGGACCTTGAGCAGGATCAGCTTCCGGGGAGAATCCGGCCCATTGTTAAGCAGGTAAAGCTAGAAGAAATTTTAAAGAAAAATCATCACTCAGCATTACCCGTAAACATTTAAGGAACTTTCGCGGACGTCAGAAACGGACGTGACCTGGTGATCCAAGATACATAATAATAATGATAATAAAGGCAAATAAATAACTAAGGACGTTATTTAAATTATGCTCAGTGTCCACTGTGTAATATTCATTCTGAATGGTCCGATTATCGGGTTATACGAGAGTGGGGATGTCCTAGTGAGATCTTATTGGTCGAGTCTTATCACTCGGGATGCTTGTGATCTAATAGAAATTATCTCTTGGCCGTATAGCTAATGGCTTAACTACTGTCCTTCGTAGAAAAGAGAATGGTAATAGGACCTATAGTCGAGTCGTGGCATCAGGTCCACTTTGAAGGGACTTATTAACGTTGGGACTCGTAAGGAGATGGCCCCTTCAAAGCTGAATTGGACGTCGCGGCCTGACTACAGTCTTTGGTTAATAGATTGGTAGGTCCCACTTTGCAGAGAGTATTTCTTGCTAATTAATTCAGTAAGAATTAATTACCTTCGAAGTAAAGTTTACTGTCTTTTAAATAGTCGGGACTATTTCACACTGTCCGCTACTTATTTTCTATGAGGTAACCCAGACCGGTAACCATTGCTGTTCTCTTATTCTTTCCATCGTCAAATTACTCGATTGGTTGGATTTAATGTAGTAGAATATATTAAGTGTTTCGCTATAATAAATGTACCGCCTTGAAATTTTCTTTTTGAATTTATGTGATAGTGCGAAACTTATTGCCTGTCGTAAACCTAAATGGCTGGAAATAAAGTTCACTTCGATTTCCATTTTCATGAGTAGCAATAAAAATTCGAAGCATCAAGGACTAAGATAACGATTAATAGTTAAATTTTTAAAGTCCTAATAAGAATGTCTAAGTAAATGACAGTCCGCGTGTTTTCGATTTTAGCAATATTGCTGTCTTCTTACCTTAACGCTTCTGGTTCGAATAAAAGTTGTATAATCATATATTAATAGCAATCGCATGCGAAGAGTGTCCATTTTCTATTTTCATCAGTTTCCTGCAATCTTCCACGTGGTCCAGTTAGGTTAGGTTAGACCGTTACGAAGTTATTGCGTCACCTGGAACGTCGAAAAATTTTAAACCCGTTAGATGACTCAAGAGGCATAACAAGAGTGCACAGGAATCATTTATGCATATATATATATATATATATATATAAGAAATAACCAGTCGTTTTATTTATCTCAAACTTCCCGGTAACAGCGAGTGCAATCAGATTTCAAAGAAATCTATTAATATGGACACGATGCTCGAAGTAGAAAAAAAGCTTTGTTATTTTTAAATATTTTTACCTCGTCAAGCTAGCGTTTGCATACGTGTATTATATATATATTAATGGTAAAGAAGAGTAGCTATTGCTTGTACCCTAAAAACAACATACGTTTTTAGAGTAGCCTTATTTTTCTTTGCGCGTTAAAGTCAAAGAAACAAAGAAGAACTCAAAACCAATTCTTTCGCGTAAATTCGTCCAGGTGGTTTTCGTGTCTCGAAGTGGCCTCCTTCACCGCGAGACTAATACCAACCAGTGTCTGTCTGTTTTACCGACGTGCCTGTCGAAAATAGTATTGCCTTTGACTGTAGCAGTAACAAAGTGCGTCCTATTCTTTGAGATTTTTCGTAGCTTCAAAATACGTGCAGACCCACGGCAAAATCTGGATCACAATGCGCGTCTATAACACGAAAATAGTAACCGTGGCGCTCCGGTTTTCTCTTGTCGTGATTGCACCAATTATTATTCGACGTGGCGTCGATCTAAAAATAGACACGCTCGTCAAACATTGCGGAAAAACGTAAATGATGGTGAAAAATTGTGCGAGGTTTTTACTATTTGTGTACGTATTTAATATAAATAAACAATATAATATAAACCTAATGATTATTTTGTGCGTATATACAGGGTGGTCCATTTATAGCGACCAGATCAATTTTTTTGGAAGGGAAGACAGATATAAAAAATTTTTTCAGACAGAAGTTGTAGGGTTTCAAGAGGGACGGAAGATTTCGTTATTGAATTCCTACCTGATTGCGGGCGTTAAGGTAATTCGAAGACCGAGTTTATTTTTTTCAATAAGATGATGTAATTTTACTTCCGGAAATCAAAAGAGCATTTAATTTTGAGTCTAAAAGTACAAGTATACTGATGACTTGAAATTGACAGGTTGTAAGATATTTTTTAAATGAGAGAATATATCCGCTCTAGGTAGCCTACGTACTTACCTGGGGCAATTTGTGCACGCGGCTTTAAACGTAATTTGACTAGGGCTGTTAGCTGTCTTAAAGATGTCTGGCTTAAATTTCCTCGCGTTTCGCACTTCAAAAGGATTCGAATTCATCGTAGAACGGGATAAGGCGGGATGAGAGAAAAGAGATAGTAGATAGTATATTCCAGGTAATGTAGAGGTCGGATATTTTTTCTGCCTGAACATTTTTTTTATGTGGTTTCGTTTCTGAAAAAATCGACCTGGTCACTGTAAATGCCTCACCCTGTATACGCAATGTATATAACGTAACAAAAAAAAATATATATATATATATTGTATAACTCTGGGAATTTAATTTTACATTTATTAGGTTATTGACTCTGATGATCCTTACTCAATATCTGACCTGTTATCAAGGCTCACATTTTCTATGCACTTACTGATGACTTTGGTCGTGATCGACTCTGTGCCAGGATGACGCATGATGGATTAAAAGAAATAAAGAATGGTTTGGCTTAGCCAAAAGTGCAATTGGAACGGACAGTGTCGCGCAAGCGTCTCGTTCGTTAGTGCCGGAGTTAATTAGCCTGCTGCAAGTATCGGTCCTGATTGGAATGAGTGAGAAAATTTTTTGGTGAAATTTTCACTTTGACGATTCGTTTGCAAATATTTGGCGAAACGTTCGAAATTTTTTTGTATTATTTCTGTATTATCAGTGTCAGCGGAAATTCTTGAGGATTTTAATACAAGCTTGGCTGGTTGTGATATTTTTACTTGGTTGGTGTAAATAAAAAAAAACTCGTGTTTCTTAACGATCTCGTAAATCAGATAATAATTTTGCGAATGTCAATCGACGAGATAAAAGAGATGTTCGAAAACAGACGCTGTACCAAATTTGAGTTCGGTCAATGTATCCAAAGTGAATATGTGACACTCGAACGTTCGATACGTCTGTGAAATTGTAGAATCGATTTTTGATTTTAATTATAATTTTTTGAAATTATTCCAATTGGCTGAATATGAATATAGTACTTCAGTTAAAGTGAAAAAATGTATAAGTAAATTTTTGTAAATAAGCATATTTGCAAGAAACACGTGTTTAAAAAAAACGTCCTTTGAAATACGCGTGGTTAACGAATGTGGTGCAAACGTCTGATTTGGATCTTCCTCTGGCTGTGGACGCGCTGTGACATTTGGCTTTGAAAACGTCAAGTGAAAATTGATGGTGGAAGAAAAACAAAATTTCATAAAAATGAAAAGTGCACTGTCCTCAAATTGACAATAGCCGTCTGTTTTACAGCAGTGTCTTCCATAAGAATATCTTGCAGACAGCCATCTTGTTTCGAGCAAGGTTCACTCTAAAATTAGAAGGATTGAGATCGGCCATTACTAAATCGTATGTCGCGGGGCGTCAAGTTCGCGTGAGCGGGACGAATATCGGCGTCGCGACGCACCAGTGCAAATTTTGTGACGAGTATTTCGTCGTGACGGTAGCACCGATAAGAATCTCGTGTCGAAAGAGAAAATGGACAAATACAATATAAATATCGAAAAACTTATATACGCATACGTATATATACATAGATTTGTATAAAAAAAGGGAAGAGAAAGGAAATAAAAAAATTCTTACGTAGACTATGGAGAGCAATAACGCCACAACGAAATCAGCCGTGGAATCGCTTCAGGAACCTTCTAAGACTCATCTCGGCGACGGAATGGCTCTTTCCGGTTTACGAAGGGCAATTTCCCAGGTGTCGATGCTAGTTTACAAAGCGACGACTTCCGGCGAGGCTGCTTGGCGCGAGGAATGCCTTAAGTACGGAAAATCACTGCTTTGAGCATTTTTCTTTTTGTTTGGGATTTTCACCCATAAGCCCTTTCATCTCGTTCAACCTCTTTTATTATTGCCTAATGTCATCCATTGGAGTTTTCAATATTGTTCGATGAATCAAAGAACTCGAGTTCTCTTTAGTTTCTTTTCTCGATTATTACGACCGTACGGCAAAGCCAGTCAGTTCTGAAGCTAAATAGACGAAGGAAGTGGACGTGTATTTGTGGTTGTGAATAGGGATAACTGTACGTACGGCACGCCTCTGCGTGATTAAAGAGCAAGCAGAAAGCAAGAAACGGTTAATGGCATCCTGTTGTCCCGGATAGAATAATTGCCCAGTTGCAATCTCTTGAGTAGTCGCACAATCACGAGTTTATCTTGTTTCGGTTTTGTTGCTCTTGACGTATAAAATATTTATCAGTTTGTTGCATTTCCGAAGTTTCGTTCCTTCGTTCGAGAAACTTCGCACTCTAGCGGACAACTTGTGTACTTCGCTATATCAAAAACAATATGGCGACAGTAACACGATGCGGCCCTGTCAGTTACGTTGAAAATTCTAAGATAAAAATGCTTGAGGACTTAATACTTTCTTTAACACTCGACTGACGGTGCACTGAACTGTATATAGATTAGTGACGTACGATTCACGTGGGTCTTGCTAAGTTACGCCATTATGCTAACGAGAAATAGTACAGTGTGTTCCACGGCGTCCGATACGACGGATGCTCTAGAAATTTCTGAACGCTGTTTATCCATAATACAATATTCCTTCTGCTTTAGACTGTATTTTCCTTGGATCTGCGAAGCGAGCTTCTTTCCTTTCTTATTGAATAATGTCCGTAGCCGTTAAACGAGCATAATTCTATTTTGGCACTGCTCGTTTACCTTTACTATGTTAAACGTCAACATTTCTACTATCGTGTGAGAGAAACTTTTAATTTACACTGTAGTAAGTCGGCGCCTATTGGACAAACACTTACCGTTTGCGTGGGCGCATTCGCATTTGCACCGCATGCGCGCAAGCTGCGGAAACACTTGTGTACACTACATGGCATTTTGCTCGTATCGTCTACGAGGGACAAAGAAAATTTCGTTACGCGTCTGGCAAAAATCCATCGAGGTACTGAGCGTTTATTATATATGGCCAATTAAAATTTGGCAAAAGCACTGACGCATCGTCGTTTGGAAGTTCAAAACTAGAATCTGACAGGAATTGCATAAAGAATTTATGAAAATTAAGCCCAGTGAAAATAGTTGTGCAAGACATTGTGACGTTTGAAAAAGATCAAGGAAGCTCATAAATTCACGAGACAAAGCAGCTAATTCGAAAGAGAACAAAGAAAATATTGGGCCATTGGCAGGTTGAGCTGGAAAGCTTTCTCGAAAATTTAAATTTTCATAAGATGCTCTATTTCTGTCCTGTGTCACGGTGTCAGGGTCGCACTAAATCAGAGCTCTGTATATAACCTATACTTTGCCACATTCTAGAAACTAATTAACCTGGTAGTACGTAGTGACGATAAAAAAAAATTAATAAAACAAAAACGACTTTTACGAGCCGTTTTTCCAAGCTCGTGTAGTCAAGGTCTTGGCGCAATTTTGAACTTTTGCAAAAACTACTTCGCACAGAATTTGGCTACGATCCTGCTGTCTTCGGATCCTCTTCTACGAATTCTTCGGCGGTTCCTAGACGAAATGAAAATGGTCGAGTACATGCGACCTCAGTCTAGCGTCCACAAGGACGCCTGGCGTCCCTCCTGTTCCATGAGTGTAGCAAGTTCAGAGGGATCTACTAGCGCGACGGTCTTAGCCACTGTCCACGTTGCCAAAAAGCACAGCAATTCCGCAACAAAATTTCCTTGTTGGCCGCCACTGATGTAACGCCTGAAATTATTCACATTTTTGTTGTTGTTGTCAAAATTACAAAATTCTGTAACACGAGTGTCGTAATACAATGACGTACACATGGACCTTGAACATTATACATAGTATAGGTAAAGCGTCTGCATAAGTACACGCACACTCGTTCCCCGCAACGAGCTAATTAGTAATTATAATTAACGAATAAAAATGGCCATTGACTTTCGTTTTAAGTTACCTAACCTTACGCTTGATAATAAATTGTCATTATCCACTTCCTATAAACCCTCGATACCCGTCCGAAGTCAAGCATTCCAGTACAAGAGCCTCTAGACAAATATTTGAACGTCCCTGACCTACGACTTCTCAGATACTTCACTGGATCTTCACAGTCTCTGGAAGGACTTTTTTAAGGGTTTTCTTTACCTCTTTCTTTTTATAGCCACGTAAAATTCACGTTGCAAGTCACAGCACACACCGCGAAGTGGCTACAAGCCGTAAGCATTGCTTTATCAGAAGATTGCTTCAATCTCCAAATATTTATATAGAATTTTATGTTTTCTTTTCCCCTTGACTTTGACTTTACGAGCTTCTTTTCATTTTCTTCATCGCGACCAAGAGGGTCCATCGACCAAGCGCAATAATAAATATTGACCAATACCCTTTCCTAAAACTAACAATAATGCCCGGAGTCGTGAAACGTGGAAAATAAATGACTCCTATTTCCAGGAAACACTTGCGGTGTTCGCTGCCTCTAATCCACATTCTCATTCACCCCCCGCGACGATTCAATCGTCGAGAAAACGAAATGGATCGTGTACGTTAACGACGCGATGCCTCACGTTATTATACAGATTTACGACTGCATAAATAAGACTAGCTAAGAATATTGCGATATCCTAAAATCTCATAGGATAGAAAATCATACGTAGTTATTTGCTTTTAAGACCGTTAAGAATTTCACAGTTGAAGGTAGTAGTAGGAATTTTAAAGAAATATTTCAATATGCCTAACTATCACACGGATGCAAGATATCTTATGTACGTTATTACACATATTTTCCTTATAAAAAATATTGACGTGAACGACGCGTTCAATTTTTCATAATTTCATAAAACTACCAGCCTTCTGTCTCATCGCTGAAAATTTGTTTCTGGCCAAGTGCCCGTAGACTCCCGAGACTTGGAAGTAAATCTCTAATCGTATATTCGGCCGTCGTGGCATTAGAAATGTCAGATATTTTTGGTGGTAATGATAATCCATTTTAAACGGCCTCCAAGAAAATCCGTGGGAGTAAGGTTAACCTAGACGTCGGACCTTCTACTACTTTTACTACTACTGCACCCTATTCGTGTCGTGGACAGATTTAGAATAGAAATTGAAAAGTCCTTGCATTTCCTCCTGTCAAGATCGTTGACATTATTTATGCTTGATTTTCTTTCAGATATCGACAGACGAGATTCAGCACAAGACGCGTACGCAAACGCGTCGTTTTCAAGCACGGCGACTGCAACGTGGTACAAGGAAACGTAGCGAAGAGAAGACGTCGTTACTTGCAGGTAAAATAATATCTGAAATAAATGATACGTTTGTTATTGAACAATAATACTGTATAATTAATATTTATTTCGCATACTGCAGGATATCTTTACCACTTTAGTAGATGCACAATGGCGCTGGACGCTTTTGGTCTTTTCCATGAACTTCATGCTGTCCTGGTTGGGTTTCGCCTTAGTATGGTGGTTGATTGTTTACACGCACGGAGATTTGGATTTGGAAAATAAAAATAATGATTCCTTCACACCGTGCGTCAGGGACATACGCGGATTCACCAGCTGCTTTCTTTTCTCGGTAGAGACGCAGCACACCATTGGGTATGTCATTTAAAATCTAGAACGCTCTTACTTTATCCTTCGTTAAAGGTACGAGAATTACAAGAAGTATTAATAAAGGCATCACTCGGTAACCCGTTTCTTATTTTTAGATACGGCTCGAAGCATACCACAGAAGAATGTCCTGAGGCGATATTCATAATGTGCATACAGTCAATGACCGGCGTAATTCTTCAGGCCTTCATGGTGGGAATAGTCTTTGCAAAATTGTCAAGACCCAAAAAACGTACTCAGACATTACTCTTCTCGCGAAATGCCGTAATTTGCCAGAGGGATGGTCAACCCTGTCTGATGTTTCGCGTCGGCGACATGAGGAAGAGTCACATAATCGAAGCTCACGTCAGGGCACAGATGATTAAACGAAAGGTGGGTTGTGATCATTTCTTCGGCTCCTTAATGAGATTCTCAATAAAACTTTAGAACTGCAACAGAATAATTTCATTATTTTAATAGAGAGAAAATTATAACCTTAAAATACGTAACTTCTCATTAAGGAGTATCGAATGCTGCTGTACCATTTAGCTAATTGAATTTCTTAGTCACGTCTATTAACCACCACGTAACCTCAAGGGAAATTTCAGGTGACGAGGGAGGGTGAGTTACTGCCATTCTTCCAAACGGAATTGAAGGTCGGAGGTGATGGCGAAGAAGACAAAATATTCTTCATATGGCCGACCACCATTATCCATAAGATAGATGAGCATTCGCCACTTTATCATCTATCAGCCAGTGACATGCTTCGCGAGAGATTCGAGATCATCGTCATGCTCGAAGGTAGATGGCACTAGTGACTGTTAAAAAAAATATGTAAAAACGTTATAAGAAAGATTAAGAAAAATACAGCTTTGTCTCAATGTTATCACTTACAGGTGTAATAGAATCCACGGGTATGACTACCCAAGCAAGAAGCTCTTATCTGCCGTCGGAAATCCTCTGGGGTCACAGATTTGAGCACATAATAACATTTCGCAAGGAAACTGGCGAATACGAAGTTAATTACACACTTTTCAATAATACTTATGAAGTCGATACACCACTGTGTTCTGCGGCGCAGCTGGACCAACTGAAGGCGATGCATCGCGCTAAAGGTGGTAAGTATCGCAGATACTCGTTACGTTATTAGCAACGAGTACGGCTTGGAGATGTTGAATTCGTCAGGTCCAATTGATTAATTGATACCGTAATTTATGATCTAATTGAGTGCTGGACAGAGATGTGCTCTCCTATAGCGCGCAAAGACAGGGAAATGTAATTGACCTCAATTAGGTATCTTCTTTGGCTTGATTGAATCTGTGGTGACACTAACCGTCAGATGAGAATATCTTGGTTTATCTGGAACTTTTATCAAATTATTATTACTATTATATTATTGTATAATCATATAATATTTACCGTTTTAGTTGCGTTGTTCTATCTAGGGTATTAAATACTTTGTATTTTTTTTTCATACAGAACATACCAACTCAGGAACCTTTCCAGCTTTTAGAGATGATTCCAGCAGTTCACTGACTACCAGCTCCGGTTCCAGTTTGGCATCTTCCGTCGGTGGTTTACATATGCATGCTCCTCCTACTCCACCAACACCGATACCAGTGATGATCACCGGCCCTGATGATTCACCTAGAAGAGGTAGCGTCAATGTGCCGATGAACCAAAAACTTGCGACTTTCTATACGCAAGATGAGGTTAGTCATATTGATTATTAAACAAGATTTTTAAATGTTTTTTGTTATATTTATCTTCTGTTTCACTTGGTTACAGACCTTGGAACCGGAGGATTATCAGAAAAATCCTAGCTTCAGTTCTGTTAGCTACACCGTGGAGGATCTTAAGAATCAGGAAGATTACAATAAGGTGCTCGAAGATATCAATGCCAGTCTCAGAAGAAACAGGAAGCATAGTATTTATGGAAAGGACGATAAGAGAATGCAAAAGGAAGGATCCAGGGTGACTTTGGAATCAAGAAGAAATGATTCCAGAACGAACATAGAGGATTCTATCAGAAGATCAGTTTCGAAAGCGACTATAGACGGACAGAATTATCCTGGAGCTATGAAAAAATCGCCATCACGTTCCACACTGGACTCTAGGTCAATACCCAAATCGTTTAATTGCTATCTAACCCTAGAAGGCTTCCAGCACAATACAGCATTTCATATGATTTTTCTACAGGCACACCAGATTCGCAGATTCTCCTGAAAGAACACACGAGCCTGGACACCCACACGCCATGCCAAGAAGAACAAGCTTGAGTGAAGGACACAAAAATAAATCAGAAATTCCAAAAAAGACCAGCTTCGTCCTAGAGGAAGAAGAGACAGCTAGGACCGACGACAATAATCCTGAGGAACAAGTCATCAGGATATCCCCACCACCAAAGATACCACCACTACCGGAAATAACGGACGTACAAAAAATAAATCATCATTCACAACATGCGGCTTCAGAGGAGCATGTCTAGGTGAGTGAAATCCTAATTGAAACAGAAATACATAAATCACAGTATCGTAAGCCACATAAGAGATCATTTGCTGATAGTCAAAAATCAAATCTTCAAAATCATACCTGATCAATACCAGCCCTTATGCGCTACCGGATCCATCGTCGAGATATCAGTAAAGACTAGCCTTACAGAACTTAGCATCTGACAGCTACTGGACACTCTGATCACAGCAGCTATACTGGAACCAGCACAGAAGTTCTGGAGGGGGTCGAAATGCTGTACATTTTGTCTAAGAGACAAAAATACCCAGCGGCTGATCCTCTTCACAATATCTCCTCGGTGTCAGATCTAAATAATTAAAACAGTAATTAGCCCAAGTACTTGGTACACAACGAGATGGGATAAAAATGATTTGAGTAAATAAGTAATTGAAATTATCAATGCGTCAAATGACTAAATAAATAATATTAATTACCAGTGATCGTTCCTCCGAACCAGCAGGTCTAACCGCCACAGTCCGGACTCCTAAATCATTCTAAACTGAAACACAAAGACCTCACGTGGAGTAGCTCGTGGACAGTTACAATGTGAACGCGGCTTAACGTCATCTAACAAGCTAACGTCCGGTCAGTCTTTACCATTGAAACAGCTTTGAGTCCCATTTTCGAAATTGATACGTACCTTAACTAATTCCTAGGATCGTATGTCCCTATATCCTACTTAATTATCTAATACTGTACTCGACTTATGGTTGCCATCCAAAGAGCACTAAATATTTTCTCAATACCATCTCGATGGCTCAATATCATTCAGCTATGATTATCAATGTAATCCCTATTACCTGCTACCGACATAAGAGACAACGGTAGGCGTGCGTCGCCAAAGAAGTACGTGACTCAGAAACTTGATAGCCAGTTTAACGCATTTCGCGTGGTCTCGTGGGCCATGGCGTCGGGACGCCGACGCGCTACCAAGGAGGGAGCAAAAGAGGCCGAGATTAAACAATTGACTGGCGTGATAACGAGGGCACTTCCCGCCACTAAATTCATCCTGTCTAACCTACAGTCTCTCTAACAACATTTAAACCTCCACTCATCCATCTGCCCTTCAACCGCTTGCATCATGTCCCGGCATCATGGCGGACGGCCTATAGCCACCTATCGTGCATAACGGAAACGTTGCGCGCCAATTTTTGAATTTCCTACACAACGACCGGTCATTTATCGGAAACGGTCGCACAGCGGAAGAAGTAAAAATGTTAATTTTTTTTTTTCATATAAAGTATCTAGCGACCGTGTCCTAGACAATTGTTCCTTTGTCACCACAACGCGTCTAGGATGACAGTACGTAATACGCAAACGACTCGGTAGTATCGTTTTGCGGGAATTGCGACACGCGGGATTCTGTCCTCGGTCTAATATGTTGATTGTTCACTTTGTCCTGTCTTACGAATAATGATCTTTTTGCGTTATTTATAGCTTAGGATCGTCCACACGTTACGCCAGTGAACACGTCAAAGGACGCATCTCTATTATGGATTATCGCTGTGATTAAGTAGATACCTCTCGATCGATAAGTCATCGTAGTAGAAATCTACTTATCGATAGTTATCGCTTGGCATTTTAATACATCGATTTTAAAGTCGAATGAATCTTCTTACATTAGTCACAGTTTAAAAATGTTATCGATAGAGAGCACGTTATCGTCTGAGATTATCGTTAGAGAATTCATGCAAAATAATGATAATAGAAAACTAATCAGAGCATCGATAAGTTAATAAAATATAAAAATCTACGGCGATATTAGTCACTATCGCGAGTAGGATTTTGATGAATTTTTATTATGTAGGGATGAAGCAAAACTAAATGGCGTCACATTGGCACAAATACAGTATTATGCTCGATGAGTCATTTCTGATGACTGGATGAATGGCAACGAAATTTAATGATCACTTCTAGACAGTCCCACACTGATTAGACAGTAATATTTCTTGGAAACGGCATCCGAGTACGAAACAGAGAATCGATCGGCAAGGCACAATAAGTGGAATTCCAAGGGGTGACTAATTCCTAAAGCAGTGGTAGAATCGAGGGATCTGGCTTAAGGCGTTTTCACGGGCGCGACGAGGATGAATCGATAGCGACCGGTTCTTGTAGAAACGATGCTGATCCTTCTGAAACGTTACGGTCGTGCCCTCCGGCCTGAGTTACGTAATTGGTTCTAACCATTAAAACTAGAAACATCATACTCTAATAATTTGGAGTACACCGTAATAGTATATTATAACAATGACATACCCAAAGAACAAATGACAGTTAAATTACGTAATATCTATTTGTAAAATATTTTTATATCAAACATCACTTGATTATGTATTAAAACTAATGATTGATAGCGATAAAAATAATTAGTAACGAATATTACAAAAAAAAAAACAAAGAAAAAATATGGAATAACAAGGTCATCGTGTTTCCATGATGCATCAATAGTGACTATCATTTTTGTTTTGATGAAATAATAGATATATTCAATAGAGTTACGTAGCTGCTTGACAAGCATGAGATATACACATCAATTAATCATTCCTTAATTAAAGGACGTTCTCGTCAGCCATCGTGACGATAGTTTATTCATGCATACTATGCATATTGGCTTCTCTTGGCAAAAGATAACGTCCATTTCCTGTTGACTCCATCGTGATTCCCTTCCAGACACCGACGCAGGTAGTTTTATTATTATATCCCAAGATCACACGGAAGATCCACGATTATCCTAATCATGTACGTCAGAGTCGTCAAAGCCATTTGATTCCAAGAAGAATGACACTTTTTAAGCATACTTGCTGAACTATAGCTAATTGCGTAGTCGACGAGGAGTGTCTCTTGTTAGCTGATGAAATATTTGAACTAAATAACAATTGCTAGCGATAAAATTCCCATGAGACAATACCATAAACTATTTGCCTTCACGAACGTGTTTTCTCGATCAAGATACAAAGGTGTACAGCTTCTTGAAAAAAAGATCACAGTCCACATTCACAAATCTAAAATTCAAGAACGTTAGAAGTATTCTGTATAGATTATTATGGGACAAATGAATCTATTAACGGGATCCTTATGTAGTATTTTTATAGATAGTCTGTATCTAAAGTCAAACCAGTACTGTTCAAGACTCGTCGAAATAGTAACGAGTAGTAATAAGGGTGACGAAGGAAAGTAAAGAGGGGAGACATTAAGGCGAATGTGTAACTTACCGAAGTTGACGTCACCTAGACGACCCAGCACGATCGCTATTGCACTCCTGTGTATCCGCCTCCATTTGTGGCATTAAAACGCACGTACGTATGTGTGCGATTAGCGACAGAGGCTCCCACGAAAATATCACGACGTTACGCTATTGGTACCAAGCATCATACGTGGGTACCTACATAGTCGTTCCCGTAGTCACGTTCTCTTCGCTTAGAACTTACCTTGTCTTCGCCAGTGGCAGCGACAAGCAGAAAGGAGCAGCACAACAGAACGTTCAATCGAAAATCGACAGCGTCCGAGCGTAACCGGAGACGAACGAACGTCGTGAATTTAGCCGGCGTAGTGTCACGTTTTCCCCTGGCAACAGAAAACTTGAATTTCTAACGGTCATGGGTCACACGATTATACACGTTGCCATCTCGTGAGTGCCAATGCCATTCCGTGTGCGATTGTCGTTAGTGTATAGTGTTTATCCGCGTGCACAGTTACGATTCGAATTACCATCTTGATACTCGACGATTCGTTGTTGCTGAATCACGTTACCGAACGTCACCGCAACGCGGCGCTTCTGCTCGACCATTTTGAATTTCCGAAAAGGCGCCAACTGTTTACCCCTGCAGGCATCCGTCAGTTCGGAATTAAGTCGCAAGAAATGTTTGCTCCCGTGGATACAGTGCAGCACGTTGGAACGAACTATGGAACAGTGAACATAAGGTATCAATGACAATATAAGCTTATTAACAAATATTCCATCGTAACGCACGCTTACAGGATACACGCATTAGTATTGTCATGGTCATTTCCTAGCTGGTAAACGAAGAACGTAATTTTTCTCGACATCCGATTACACGCCTTCTTGCATGATTATTTAAATACCCCGATCACAGTCTACCTTTTCTTTCAAGGTATCCGGAAATACCGGATTACGGCATACGTCTTCCTAGGAAATTCTAGAACAGTTCCTATCCTATTACTAGAATTATGAAAAGCTCGTTCCTGCATTACAATCTCTTTTGGACGTTTACGAATGTCTCTCTGCTTCACTGTTATATCGGACCAGCATGACTATCGTAATTATATACATAGTATAACCGTTAAAAAGGAGTTCTCGTAACAGTATTTGACTCTTGCGAAACTAGACTAGGGACCTACGCAGAGGCAGCCTAGCGTGAAACCAAAAACCATGGAAACGGCAATGGCATTCCGTGTCACGCTATGAGGTTTGACCTGTGGATTTTGTTAATTTTATTTCCGAACACCCGTTACATGCGGACTTTGCCAGTTAATAACGAATATACGTCCGCGATACGTCTATCCTTTTTCTCCCTATAGTTTTCGCAACATATGTTTTTACCATGGTCCTTACGACCAGCGCGCTCTGTGGCGTCTTTACGTACACGGCTCGCATAGGCACGTGTCGCTCTGTATACAATATCTATACTGTGTGCACATATGACACACGCGATATAACGAAAGTCTCTAGAGTCGCTCTGTAACGTAATGAAGCATGGTCTAGAAACTTCTATCTGGTATATAGGGCACGTTACATTTCTAACAGTACACATATATTCGTATATCCAATAGTATCTTGCAAGAAGGAATCTCAAAAGTTGATGTATAGAATCTCGAGTAAGGCGCCAATGGCGCATTGAGTAACGATAAACCCTGTTGCAAGGCGATATTTTTACAAAGGAGTACAATATACGTGCTCGAGGGCTTTCGCGTCTTGCAAATTCCATCGGGGAAGCATTAAACTGTACCAACCTAAGAATAGAATAACAACAGTGGTACGATTGACGACGATAGACGAATTTTTCGAACAGCAGGAACGATTCTACTGCGTAAGTTAAAATGCACTGCTCACATTTCTACAGTCACATTAATCGACCACCATTTTGTACGACACGTACTTGGAATGCAAATAGCCAGCAAAGGACATCCCGATCTCCATCGAAATATTCAAAAGTTCGACCGATCGATCGTAGGACGGATTTTAACGAATTTCTGTATACCTGCCGCGAGTGCGAGAGAGACGGACTTATGGGTACTTGAGTGAGCGAGACAAGGACGAACGTAACCTTAACCGAAATTCACGAACCCTTCTTTGTTTTTTCTCTGACGTTCATACAGTTTTGCATTTTGAATAATTTAATCTATTCCGAATCAACCTGTAGCTACTACGTCGACTGTTAATCGTTTAATTCGTCATTTCTTCCAAATCACTATGTAGACTGAATCAACCATATTCCTAAGTATTATAAAACATTAGTTTGACTTGATTATCCGTAGAAAGAGTAAGGGCATTAGACATGACGGTACCAGGTGTATTTATACCTCTAGCGGAAACGGCACTCTTCCAGCCTGCAATGGTGGACACAGATATACCATACTATCGTAAGAAACAGTGTAGATGAATATATATATACGTCTGGAATATAGGTATATAACAACGTTGGTATGTAGGTACGTGCGTATCCCCGCCATAAGAGGCAAATGCCATGGCATCCGTTGGTACAATCTCGTGCAACGGACGCGAATCTGAAACAGTTGCGAGAGCGACGCGTCGGGCGCACGAGCGTTCGTCATCGCGCTAAACTCTCGAAATTCGAAAAGAGGAAAACGAAAGGAATAAAGAAAGAAAAAAATAACTCCGTCATCTCGTACTCATTGCCGTCGTCAGGATCGTACGAAATTTCATAATTTCGACAGGCAGCAGTCCGTGACTTGTAAACCCATAAGGCAGAGGTTCGAGTATCGTTATGGGATTTTTTGTAGTGGAGAATAAAAAGTCTCTCGCATTTTGCGCTGCGAGGAAACTCTTTTTTTTTCTAGAATTGTTTACCACGAATCAATTATCGTCCCTGTTTCGTACGTAAAGCTGCGCAAACACGTGACGATGATTGAACAAATAATGTGACATCGAATGCGATGTACACGACTAGATACGATATCGCGATCACTTCGTGGCAAAATTGGATCTAGTTGGTCCTTGGATTTTCGTAAATTTTTTTGTTGATAAATGGAAAACGGTTTCTACGTGTAGTTGAATTTTTGTTATTTAGAGAATTTTTTTCTATCGATCGCAATGTGTTGTACGGGTGTAATGACAGTGTTGGTACCTGTATGATGGTCGAGGTAATTTGAGGTTATGTTAGAGAATTAAATTTTTAATTTGACATGACTGGTTTGACTCTTTGAAATATTTGCATTTGTCTCGTTTTGTAAGATCCGGAATAAAGGGATCGGATTGGGGCAGGACATTGTGTCATGAACTGGATCTTACGTGTGTACTTGTTGCTACCGTGAGGATCGGCAGTGTTTTCGCTCTCGCAGACCGGTTTGACCCGTTTAGAAAAATGATCTTAGACGCTCTGCCGATCGTTTACCTATGGACCAATGAGCTGTCGGGGATCGCATTCCTCCTGCTTGAGGAACATTCCGCATTCAGTTCCGTTCCCTTGTTCACTGTGCGACCGGTACGTATTACTCACTGGCCCTTTGTACTTTCAGGTTTAAGGATTCGCGAAGCTGACGAAAGGACGACATCGTGGGACTTGAAGGAGAATTAAATTTGAAGAAAAAGAACGAAAAATCGAAGATCCAAACAAAAATAATATGGAAGGATGCAATGTAGTTCCAACCTGGAATTCTTATCGAATATTTAGTGACTTCGATGCGTGCTCGAGTCACGTTCCAAACTGACCCAGCGAGTCAAATTCAGTCAATAATTTCGAAAAGTTACTCCGAGGACGTCAGTGCAGAGTGAAGAGGATACAGGATGTACTCATCGGACGAAGAACGAGTTTTAAATATTAAAAAAATAGCAAGGATTTATATAAACGCTTAAGTTAAATTTTCAACCAAAAAAGGGAACTATCCTATTGTGCAATTTTAAATGCGCGATATGCACGTTAGATACGAGTTTTGGCGGTGATCGTTCAACCGGAAGTGTTATGCGTGCCGTTGCCGACGGTATGGAGGAGCCTCAGAAGCTCTTCCGGTTGCCAGGTACCATAGAGGAAGAGGAGGAACGCGAATTGGAGACTCAAGTTAATTCTGAAAATCAACCCGGGCCTGAATCGCCACTTTTAACCCAAAAAGTACCGAGCATCGTCACAGGATTTCCCAGGAACGTTACCCTGGTCAGGGTCAGCACGCAGAGCAGCAGCATTGGCGGTGGGGTCGGCCGTCAGGATTCTAACAGGTAAATAAATTATAGTACACACATTTTTTAGTCTATTATATATTTTCATTTTCAATCAGGTCACTCCCTTTCTATCTCTATGGCGAAGTCAAGTCCTTTTTATGGGACTTAATTTTACATGCGAGTCTCGCTGAGGCACAGAGAGAGAGAAAATGTGAAAACTTTCGCGCAAGATTTCGAGGCTGATTCGACAATAAAATTGCGAAATTTGCTTCTATCCTTGCCGTGTGGATCTGACGATTCCTTGAAGGTTAAATATAATATCGTAGTCATCTAACGTATTAATTAGAATATCCATAAAATGCGGTTTCTGCAGTAACCTATTTATATCTAGTAAAGTTGAATTCAATGTCAACTACAGATTTAATTCTTAAATCAGATAATTTTTCTGTTTTATTGTAAGGCGAAGAATCGCGTTATATGAAAACAGTATTCGCAATATTTTTGCCTCGTTATAAGAATTCGTGTTGTAAGAACTCGCGTTGTACGGGAATCTACTTCTATGTAGATTATATAGCATTAAATTCCGGCCAAACGTACCAACTGAAGTTAGGCATCCATCCTATTGGATTTCTGTCCTAGAGCCAACTTCAGTGATAATTAGGTAAAAAATGTTTAAAAAATAATCAGGCTAATTTCATCGCAACAGTTCCTAATAATATAATACACGTTTAGTACAATTATTGACCTACCTGATATACGAGGATAAAGATAAAATATTTGTCTTTGGTAGAAAATATAAAATCGTCAGATATTAGTTTAAAAAATTAGATGGATTTTTCGTCGTCCGCCAGATGACGCTAGCTGTCACATGGACGTCTATAAATACCAATGAGAATCAGTAGTCAAATATGAATTAATCATCCCCAGCCAGCAATGTAAATTTTCATTTTTTCACTCTTATTATTTACCCATGCAAACATTCCGATTAGGTACAGATTAATAGAAAAAAAATGCCCTCCCGACAGTGTCCAGAAAGTGACTATTTTAAACGTCGTCAATAGAGAGACTAGATTGTTCTTACCAACAAAAATGGCGGTGCCCCCCCTTGCAGCGTATAGTAAATTCAATTATAATCTTCCTCGTAACGATATTTACTTCTCTGATATTTACCTCCACATCCAGCATACGTTCAAGCTGTCGACACTTATCACCAGCGACAGCTGATACGCGTAACGTACCGTAACGTTGCTTAAAAGTAATACTGCGAAAGTGTCAACCGATTTGTACACACAAAGAGGTTAGAGATGAGTGAGGATTTTTATGTCTCGCGATTATCAAATATCCCAAATTAAAACAGACAAATATATTTGCGCTGGGTAAAAGGCGATATTCAAATTACGTGCCGTCGGGTTTGCTGCATAAGCATTTTTCATATTCCTTGGGCTATGCCCTTACAACTTGACGTTCCTTGCAATGCTAAGAACTAAGAAAGCGTAGGAGCCTAGGGTTTCTAGCTTTGTGTTTGAGGAGTTCTTGGTATCAGGATAAGGATCGAATCGTTCACGACTGACGCTGGTAAGCGTATTCTCGTCTATTGATACATGGAGATTGCTTTGGAGACATAATGACTCGCTATGACCGTGGGATACAATGTATGTGTATGTATATATATATATTATAACGTAAGTAAGAAAAACGCTAAGTAACATTGTCCCATTAAATTTCAATAATTAATTTATCTCGATCGAACGACTGAACGATCGGAAAAAAAAGATCAGCTTTAAATATCCGCAAGTGACCAAGTGTGTTTATTTAATTCGTCAGTTGAAAATTATTTGAATATATACATACTTTCGATGTTGACGCGCAAGAAGATGAACCCCTGACTCTTGTCACTTGTGACTTCTGTGATACGATACAGTCGAATCTTCGTATTGAGTTTTTAGGTTTCGTAAAAATGTAAATAGAAAGAAATGACGATTAAATGACGATTAAATGTTTTATAACGGTACCGAGAATAGAAATTTTGTGAAATATTATCGTAAATCAATTGCAAGGTGAAATTTTTCTTAAGTCTTAATTTTATCTTCTAAATGCATTTTATACGAATAACTAGATGGCGCTGCGATCGCGCGGGCTTTTTCAAACGGCAGATAAATACTTCCCTATAAATCACTGTTACTCTCGGTTCAAACGTACGTGTCGTGCTCGAGATCAGAATGGAAAAAAGACAAAGAATTATCTCGCACATTTATTACTTAACGACTAGTTAGTCTTATTACGAGCGTTTATCGGAGCTTGCGAGTGTGACCTCAGGGCTGACCGACTCGCTGCGAACTAGTATCAACAGTCCTTTTAACGTGGTGCAGCTGATCCAACGCGTAACGCACGTGTCGTAATATATTTTCGTTGTGACAGACGCTTTATTTCCCACTCGTGGCTTCTCCTGGTGAGATAACCGGATGTTCTTTTAACGGGCTCTATGGGGGTTACTTATATCGAGCGTCAAACTACGAGAGTCAGTGTACAACGTGAGCGAAAAAATTTTAAGCAAGGATCGGATCGTGAAGGACGCAGAGTACGAGATTCCTGGTTGGTTAGTTTTCATATAGTAGAAATGACATTGAAAAATTGTATAATAAAAAAAAAATTTATTTTATCTATTAAATTCACAAATATTCTGCATATAACCTTAAGGGTTGGATTTTTTTTTTAATTTTTACTACGCATCAACAGACCAAATTCTTGGTTAACTATACACCCTAATGTCATAGTGCGATTAGGTATTTGTGTCCGTTTTGAAACTTTTTTTTTTCACCTAGAACGTAAGTCACAGATAAAATTCGAGCGTAAGTCATCGAATTTGACCGGACGCTAATGATAAAATTTTGAAATTTTTTAAATTAACCAAAAAAATTGTACAATTTTTTTTGGGAGCAAATATTTTCAAGCGACTCGGGCAAACGTCTGAGAAATTCTCGATTTGTTACGTAACAATTAAAACTTGTGTGCGACCGACAAAAATTCCGATCCCCCTTGAAATTCAATTGAATCAACAGAATACTCGATACTTCACCGTGGCTCTTGAGGGCGACGACGAGAAATTCTCAACTCTTAATTTCAATGCTGAAATGTCTACCCGTTACCAATTTTTCCTTGTCTCAGCGAACTTATCCCACTCTCAATACGAATCCATTCTCAGTCCCTGTCTCGCGCGTAATCAGCGATTTTACGGAGGTTCGCGAGTAATCGTGATAACAAGAGCGAGGAACGTGTCAGCGCTGTGATAAGAAATCATCAAAGTTAGTCAGTACGGTGCCGAGCGTTGAGACAGTTAAATCGGTTTTTGATTTGGCATTGGAAAAAATATGTAAAATTACAAAAATCCGTGAAAACTCAGCATAAAAAGTGTAAAATAAAAAACGAAAGACAAAATTTATGTTTATTAAAAAAAAAGTGATAACAATAAGAATGTGAATTTTTTCAAATTTCAATAAAAAATTGAACTACGAAAGTTTCGGGTTTATTATGACAGTACGTAAATTTAAATAATAATCTGGTCTGCGTGAATTAAAAAAAAAAAAATGAATTGCTACAACGAATTCCAAGTGCTGCTTATCGTTGCAATAAGCTATTCCAGGGTTCGCTTCGGATTGTCAAATACGGCGAACATAACCTCAAATTAGAAACGTATCGAAAGAAGATATATTAAAGCAAGTTGGAAATTGCAAGTTCAGTGGCTCGAGGTAGAATGAAAAAATAAGTTTTCCCTGGGGCGCTTAACTTTTTGCGAATTGCAAAGGTAAACTTCGTAATTCGTGACTGATAATTGGAGGCGGCTGGTAAGTGGAGATCGTCAGGTACATATAAGACGCACAGCATACTGCGGCTAACCAGTCGATCGTCCGCAAGCTGTGTCGCAAGTCTGTCACAGAAGCGTTATAAGTAGATTAACTTAAAAAAATCTATGACCAGTTTGCGTTGACGTGAAAAAGCGACGGAAGCTGCGAGCTTCCGAATAGTCTGGCGGAAACGGCCGAAGCTACACTAACCTTCAAATCTCGTACGTGACATGAACGAAGGACGCGTTGAAGTGAGCGACAGGACGTTCTGGACACGAATGTCGCCCCGAATAATTCGCTCGACTTCAGGGAACTTGGTGCGCTACGAGAATCATTGTAAAATGGATGGAGACATTTCAAATGGCAATTCGAACGGGCAGTCCTACTCGCCTGAAAGTGGCGAGGATCAGAAGTTGCTTCCTTCGTGGAGTCAGACGCCGATCATAGTACAAGTGCCGAAGAGTCCAAATCCGTCCTTTCGAAGCAGGTAGAAAATATTAGTCCATTGTCAGTGTACGTGTATAATTAATGAATTATTTTTTTTTGTCAATGCCTTTTTTAATTAAAATTCAAACGAGTTTTATAATGGCTTCGGGTCTGATGTAGTATTTAGTATTTAGTAATTAATGTAAAAAGACTTACGAGTTTATGAATGGTGAGGATGGCTGAACGAAATTGAAGGTTAGGGTTTATAAATTTCAAAACGCATTTCTTATACAGTGTTTTGTTGTTTATGCATAAATTAAAAAAAAAAAATCAAAATCTTCCAGTAGCCGCGCAACTAGTACTCGTCATTTACCAATGTTTGGGCACTTAATGGATCCAATCTTTAGACAGTTGGATTTTTGGATCTGTTCGAGACTTTAATATTTTCTGATTTCTTACGTATCAGCGACTGGGGGAATTACTGTCCACTTTATAAGCGTAATCATAAATATTTATATGAATCATTAAGATCGGTTCACACCTCCATAGAAAGGAGACTGCAAAACAGTCGTAAATCTTTCACTGATTAAAATTAATAACTTTACGAACACAGATTGCACATACCAAGGTGTATGTTACGTGCAGCAGCAACTTTAATGACTTATCATTTATTTTTTCGATAAGCTTTTATTGATCTGAGCTTAAATAAGTTTTCAGTAAAAAAAATTACTCATAGACAGTTAATATACGTCGAGGTGTCACGTTACTCATTGTAAGTCTAACCAATTTCGCAAAGGTGTAAAAAATCGGAATAAAATTTTCCATTGCCAATAGTTTTTTGTCTATGGCAATCGATGGGTTATATGCTGTTATAATTACTCGAGTTTTGATAATTGACAAAAATTTCGGACTTTCCACATCTCACTTCTGCTTTTTTAATTGGAGTCTTGCTTTTCTTCGGGTTTATACAAAATGCTGATTCTCTATCGATCAAAAATAATTATTCATTCAATTTTATTTACGTTGTAGAAAATTTTTTGGATTTTTCCGCTCTTTGCGTTTTTCACTTTTATTTTGATTCTTTCGAATTATTCTTCGTCTGTATCAATTCTAACTGACTAACGTCGACGCTTCTACTTAAGGCTGTCTTATCGGTATGCGACCGAAACGATAAGGTATAGGTTGCGATCGCGATAATTTCTCTAAGTGATGGATACCTCGAGGTTACTTACGTCGCGTCATTGAAAACGAGATGGTTCTAGATTTCGAAATACAAAGATTATTATAATTATTTTATTACAAAATAAATATTTACGCTCAAATTCACTCGCGGGCATTGATCATTCGAGTTAATTTAATTTCGTCGGCTTTTAGATTTTTAAACTATTTTTTTAAAAATTCACTAGGTCAGTTATGTTATGTAACGTATTTTTTTACTCAGATTTCGAGTAACGATCACCTTTATAAGCTTTTTTCTACACAACGTCACATAGAAAACGTCATAAGGATATCCCCTGGACGTCCTGTAAACGTATAGACGTGTCTGACATACTTTGAGTTAGTGTAAACGTTGTATTTTTTTTACATCTAGATAAAATTTTTAATGAAAACTTAAAGACACATTTTTTATTTTAAAATCATTCAGATGCTTTCTTTATCATACTTGGACAGTATATCATTATAATATTGATAATCTTTAACCCTATTTCTATCAGTGTATAACTTTGTATCGCAATTGATCTTTAACCCTATTCCTACCAGGATATGACTTAATATCAAAATTGAAATTGAAGTAACTTTAGTTTTGTAATTACATTTCTTCAGTAACGACACTTCGTATACTTATTTAATATTTTTAATATTAACAAAAATTTTGGAAGATTTTGGACTAGAATTTTAATTTCTATTATATAGTGTCAAAAGTCACATCCTGAAAGTCCATGTGTGTGACAGAACCCAATGCGAATGGGATTCAGAAAAAAGTATAGTCAATCAACAAAATGATTGGGTTGAAAATTATGGGCTACATTGTCCTCGTATAGAATATAGCGGATGCGCGTCATCGGACTGATTTACACCGAGTAATAAATAAATTACCAGATAACGCACGCTACTTATTTATTGGAACGTCAAAATGGCCTCGTTGTTTTACCATAGAGACGAAAGTCTCGAGCTTGAGTCTTCACGAGATCAGCGTACAAGCCGGGCGGACCCACTTAACGATCTCAATTTTACCTCGTACCGAGTATAGGCATTCGCTTATTGCGCGCAAATTTTTTGCAGACAGTTACTGCTGTGTAGAATCGAAATCCTGGGATGGCATCAAGTTCCTTAAAAAATCACGTGACGATGTTGCGAAATGCGAAGAAGACCATCGTGGGTGTAAAATTAAAACAGAATACCTTACAATTAAGAAATCACAAAGAATTTCCAGATATCTTTGTAAATTGCTTCTTATTGACTTTACTGCATAGTATTATCATTTAGAAATTCCAGCCATAACATTTTATCATTCTTCGTTCCTCCTATCTCCATTTCATCCAACGTCATAGGATCAGCATCAATCTTCTATGTGACCCAGTATACCAATGATCTTATGAGGGAAGATCTACTGCAGCCAGATATCCAAGTGACGTTTATGATTTTGAGAATCAAAAAAAAAACTGTAAAAATAATATCAAACCAGCAATTATCCAGAATAAACAAAGAAGACTTTATCTAAAAAGTAGTAAGATTTAGATAATCCTAACAGATCCAAGATTAAATATTTTCCAATACTTAGTCTTACTGGACTTGCTGACTTCCTCGTGGATTTTACAATATAGGCCAAGAGCGGATACGCGTGTACGGCAAATTGTTTAATTCTGTCTAACTACAATTATCAAGTTATCGATTGACAATGACAATATTTACATTGATGTCGCGCAATAGCTGCTAATAGCCAAGACTCGCTCAATGATCCATAAAAAAAAAGGATGGTAGTCGGACCAGTCTGTAGAAGAAGTAGAGAACCCGTGGGTCGAGCAAAGCCCATTCATCAAAACTGCTTAAGAGCTGAACGAGATCAAAATGATTTGAAATTTAAATCATGATAATTATTTTTATTTTTTTCCAAGAAGAAGTCGCAGCCAGGAATATCTTTAAAGACAGGACAAAAGTGAACTTGCGCAAGTGGCCTGATGACCTTGCCATTTACATTTTCCATTTTCTTCTTCATCCTTCCACTTTTCACGCACCTGAGTACACCTAGAAAAGTTATGAGACACACAGTATAACTGAGAAGCATTAAGAATTGCATTGAAACTTCAGTACAAGGTCGAATTTCCTCTTTACTAATATTTCTTCTACCCGGTGTAATAGCTCTGCGGATAGCACGTTAATTAAAAATTAATAATTAACGATCCCTCTCACCTTGTCATGTTGCAGGAGCCGTTACAGGGCAGGTCCAGTGAAAAAAATTCGTAGACGGGTGGTCCTCAAAAATGGAGAGTGCAACGTATTGCAATCACGAATATCACGAAGATCGCTACGCTTCCTTCAGGACATCTTCACCACCCTGGTAGACACCCAATGGCGTTGGACATTGCTCTGCTTCACCCTGAGCTTCTTCCTGTCCTGGTTAGGATTCGCTGTCATCTGGTGGCTCATAGTCTTCACTCATGGTGACTTGGAAAAGGACCACCTGCCATCTGTCCAAGTTGAAAACAATTGGACACCTTGCGTAATCAATATAAATTCATTTACAAGCTGCTTCCTCTTCTCCATCGAAACTCAACATACCATTGGCTACGGCAGTAGGACCACCACTGAAGAATGTCCTGAGGCCATTTTCGTAATGTGCATCCAGAGCATTGCTGGTGTGATGATACAAGCCTTCATGGTTGGAATTGTCTTTGCCAAGATGACAAGACCCAAGCAACGTACCCAGACCCTGCTCTTCTCCAGAAACGCTGTCATCTGTCAGCGAGATGGTGAACTCTGCTTGATGTTCCGGGTCGGAGACATGAGAAAGAGCCATATTATTGGCGCCACCGTCAGGGCCCAGGTCATCCGATCAAGGACCACCAAGGAGGGTGAATTCCTCTCGCAGCATCAACAAGAGCTGGCCATTGGTACCGATGGAGATAATGGCAATCTCTTCTTCATCTGGCCTACAACAATTGTTCATAACATCAATGCGGACTCGCCATTTTATAATATGTCTGCCGAGGATATGCTTACCGAACGGTTTGAAGTTGTTGTCATATTGGAAGGAACCATTGAGTCCACTGGTCAGACTACTCAGGCTAGATCTAGCTATCTGCCTCAAGAAATACTCTGGGGTCATCGATTCGAACCGATGGTCGGCTACTCTAAGGAGAGACAAGGATACGAGGTTGACTACTCATTATTTAATAGTACTACTCAAGTGGATACTCCTCTTTGCTCCGGTAGGGAATTGGCTGAATTCTACAGGGTCCAGGATGATCTTCGTCATGGACCTGGTGAGTTGTGGGACGTTGCTATTACTAATTTTTAATTAATGCTACTCTCATAACCTTTATCCCGGATTAATTATCGATGAATTCATTAATGTTATATTATTTGCATGGTACCAGTTGACTTTTTTTAACGTTTCTCGGTTCTTTTTCTGTTCTTTTTTTTGTTGGTGTTTTGTTATGTTTACTTTCCGTTTATTTCGCTTTTTTGTCTATTGGTTCTGCTGTCCCCTTGTCTATCGTCTGACTATTCTTGGTGCTGGTATATCGTAGATGGAGTCGGACTGAGGAAAGTTCCTAGCGAACCCAAAACTGCTCCGGTTATTTTGACATCCTCGAACCACAGCACGGATGGAGGATTTCTAGTCCCGTCGCAGCAACAACAGCAGCAGCAAATGAACGTACCGCCAAAGCTTCACATAGACATTCCACCGATTACAGAGAATCCAAAAATTTAGATACAATTACCTGTTTAACAACCTCAAGAAAAGATCTATATATTTGTTTTTTAATTGTCTGCTCTGTTACGTCGCGTCCTATGTTCGCTATTGTTTCTATGAGGTCGTCGCTTCGACTCGTAAAAGAAACAAAGAATCCAAGATGGAACCGATGGAGGATGAAGAACAACCAGCGTGCATAAGAACTATATCCGGAATGTCGTCGCTGCGACGTCCGTTGGATTGGTCGATGGGAATCTGGGATATACAAGAAAAAAAAAATCAAATCTCTAAGATCTCTACGACCCCCAGAATATTTCATATGCATGACATTTGCAGTACTTTGGGTTTTAACAACTAAAACTAAACATTAAACTTCTCTCATGGGTACTTGGTCTATTGATCTAAGATGAGTCGAGGCTTGGGGTGAAGGGTTAAGCTGAGATAAATAAGTCTGGACCCTAAGGAACAGAATGATTTACAGGTTTTATAGTCGATGACGATGGCGCCACGGTGGATCCTTATCCGGATATGTATACGCAGTACATGGGTCACCATCCTCCTCGAAGTTCAGGTCATCATCCTCTGGTCCATGCTGAGAGTACTAAGAGTGCGGCTAGTGATATCAGTCTAGAGGATAGCACGATAGGACGAAGCCTTTACAGGGACGATTCCCTAGGTCCACAGATGCCAAACCGAGAAACTGGAACAAGCAGAATCATTGACTTAGATCCGGACGCCATTCAGGTAATCGGCGAAGCTGAACTATACCAGTTACCAGAAGCGGTGAACAAGGAGATCCTCAAGAACAGCAGAGAGATCGTCTTCGAGGAACAGGAAATGGATAGCTTACCAGAGGCAGTCAATCCTAAGCGTCCAATGGGATACCCAGGAAGTATCGATGACAAGAGATCCTTAAACGGATCAAAAAACTTGAGCTTCAGGACTCTTGGACTTGACGATGAGAAGCGATCGCTCAATGGTTCCAGGAGGAATTTGAATGGTTCCAGAAGGTACCACGTGCTGTTAGATCATGGTGATTCCTTCAGCAGTAGTGCCAGGAACCTCTTCCACGTAGGCAGTAGAGAAAATCTTGGTCCTCGAAGACACACAGGCAGCAAAGAAGGACTGAACGTCATTCGCAAGACTGTAAGAGGCATGAAAGGATCTAAGGAGACACCAGAGTTAAGATCTCGTAGGAGGTTACCTGATATCAGTCAGGGCAATCAGACCGAGGTCGGGGTCGACGTTGAAAGGGTTCCTAAACAAGATAATCCTAGTAATTATACATCACCTAGCAGTTCAGTCTTAACTGAATCAGGTCGATCACCGGAATCTGGTTTCGTCGACCAAACACAGTATTCCAGTCCTGAATCCATAAAACGTGGTCCCAGGCTACCTCAGAATTCCGTAATCGCCAGGAACAGACGAAGTTACGAAAACGCACAGCTCCAGGATATGCACGAAGCTCTCACGAGGACCATCAGCGAGAGTAGTTCTTCGGACAGTGAGAGCACCACCAAGAACGTCGTGGCTTCAATATCAGTGCCTAATAAACATATAGTAACAATTAATTTTAAATCTAATTCCAAGCCGATGTCTTATACCAGTGTTTAATCATGTAACATCTAATAGAATGGAGTATACCCACAAAAGTCTATACTGCCTTCAAACTAACTCTTGAAGTATCCATTGGACTGTTACTATAAGCAATGGAAAAAAAAAACTTTATCTTTGTTATCTTGGTATGAAATTTTACGCGAGACTGCCGGTCGGTCCTCTAGAATTATGTTTAAATGCCAATTAAACGGTAATCCAAAAGCTGATAAAATCAATTATAAAAAAAAAAAAGAAATCGACAAACCGAGAGTTCGGTCGAATCTACCATGTTCTTATTGTATTATAATGATAGGCAATTAATTTAGTGACAATAATACTTGCGAAAGTGCCTTAATGTTTAGCGATCAATTCTCGGGGTTAATTGTGTGATGAATCAGCTGTCAATATTGTACGTTACAAGTAGGTTAGGTTAATCCGCGATGCCTTCACATACCCTTACGTTAAATCCTAAGGTGGAAATAGTCAGATAGATTTAGACTTCTTTTTTTTTTTTTAATATTTTTCCTCTTCATTTCCAAAACGAGCATAATCATTATTGTTGTTATTATTGTCAAAAATGAAATTCGAGATCTCGTAGGTGATTCGATGTCTGCATGCTTACACGCGCATGCGCATAACGTATCCGGGTATGGATGTGAGAATGTGCACGAAGAACGTACGATTAATAGTCAATATTTATTTACTACCGTGAATATATTTTAGATTAATATTATTTGTATATAATACGTTACAGAGCGCGCGTAAGACGTCAAGATATTAATTATGCCATGCGTTTATACTAATTGCGTATATGCATGTGTATATATAGGATATTCTCTTCCTCGAGTCGTAGGAGGAAACAACGAGAGGGCGATAGTAGTGGAAAGAAGTTGAAGAAAGGAAAAGAAAAAATTAAATTAACTGGACTGAATTGCGTTATGACAAAGAAAATTGAGAAGCGATGAGAAAATACGAGAGTTATAAGTTATGTACGTAATGCGCGTCCAGGATCTTCGGCGCCATTATACTTTTTACTACGTCGATCATACCAACCGCGTAAACACACATCATTGTGATTATTAGAATTAATTTATGTGAATGTTGTTTGTAATAAATTTCAAATTTAAAATTACTGAGTAGACATACGTTTCAGTTTATTACTCGATACATTTTGATTTCCCTTTTTTTTTTCATTTCCCTTATATCGCTTCGAGATTCATCCGCGAGCACTGCGAGCTTCGGTGCGTCTCTGTCAGATGCGTATTGATAAACCGTGATACAATGATACTCGCAGTAATCGCTGTGAATTTTGAAACCCATTCTACATTCTTATATTCCATTTATTCCAACGAGTGATTCTAACCCTGTATATGAGTCGTATTATTTGACTTCAATTGCATGGGACATATTAAATCCTGATATTTTTGTGTCATGAAAACGTCGAATGAATTTTGAAATATAGATTAAGAGAATCAGAGGATCGTGAAATATTTCGTGGAAAGCTCGTGAACTTTCTGACATTGAATATTATTAATTAACAGCTAAACTGATATCGGAGCGTTTTCAAAAAAAGAATTTTCGCCGAATCGCTAATATCTTGAATTATTATTGCTTCGTTTGGTAATGACGATTTCGTAGTGCTGACTCATCGAATGATGGAATTGCTGCAGTGCTAATTGAATCGTGTCACGGGATCGACGAAATGTCCAAGAGTAAACGTAAGTGATAATAAAAGAAATGTAGAATAATCATTGTCTCGTTAGTATAATATCATCGCGAAAGCGTTTTCTGTCGAGTCTAGGTGTTCTTAGTAATTTTTAACGACTTGCTTGTGGATGGATTAAGTCGTTAATTAGCGCGGGAACGTGTTAATAATTTAGAAACAAATTTCGAGAACGCCAACAGTGCAAGTAATCATGAATCGCGATGCAGAACGCAGTAAGGAGGAGGATCGGCCATTATTATTTCCTGAAGACGATTGCCAGAGGATGGATGGATTTCCGGTTGCATATGAAACAGCCGTCACTCATGGTGCTGTGCATTATTTGGGAAAGTGGCCGTCACATTTATTTGCCGTCTTCGTTGCTGGATGTCTGGTATTTGCCATGTTTTTCATTTTCGCCCTTATCACTGTCATCTTCTCCGTATCCGTTGATAACAGGTGCCGGTAAGACTCTGACTGTAACAGTGTAGATTTATTTATTAAATATTTATATTAATTATTATTATTGCAGGAGGATACGTAACGTTGAAATTGATAATGACAGTTCTGGCAATGTTTACTTTGTTAAGCATGAAAACAGAACGTGGAGTGACGAAGAACTGTGCTTCATTGAAATTGCTGCGCGTGAGCATCCTGACTTGAATGTATGTTTTCTTTTTGTAATTACTGTTAGCAAGTAGACAGCAAAGGATTGATTAAAAAAGAATGATTGAATCTTGACAGATTTATCTGATGAATTTATTAAATGAAGAACCGAATGGGAAGAAAATGAAGGAATTTATGATAGAACTGATTGATGTTAAGAGGGAAATAAGATCAATGTTAGATACAGTTGACTTTTTACAAGTAAATAATTCAACGTTCACTGTTGGTTCTAAGTCAGATGAAAATATGAGAAAGAGATTGGCTGATGTATTGTTAAATGTCAGAAATATTGATGTTACTGTTGAACATTTTTTTAATGGGTAAGTTTATTCAGGATATTGTTTTATATATTTCTTTTTCATACTTTTTTTCATTCACAGATCCAGATTGGATAAGATTTATAGACAGTTGGATGATCGTGGTATTGAATTTGCAGCAAGGACTCATATCCTTTGGAATTTTCCTGGGATTGCCTTGGAGCCTGTATTATATTCGAGTCTGACACACGTTCGGCAGTTTTTGTACGAGTCAGTACAACGTTCAATTGACTTTTCAATGTTAATGATATTTTTTGTAATTTTATTGAATATTTTTTATTTTACCTTCAATAGAAATTGCAAGGACAAGTGCAAGTCTGGACAGATTGCTACCATAGAACCGAATGGTGATTTGTTAGCAACTGGAATCACATGTCAGGCATTTATAGGAGTCCTTATGGAGGAAATATTAAAAAGCAGAACATCCGTTAGACAGAACACTTTGAGAGAAGCAATAAGTAAATTCTGTCCAAGGTACCTCAAATAGAATTAAAAATAATGTCTTTAAGCATGACATAATCATTTTACTTATTACGACAGGACGGGTTACTGCCCAGGTGTGAGGATCTACAAATTTGAAAAACTATCATCCCTGAATATTCTCCACTGTCCTACTATTTATCCTGAGGGAATACCATCTGACAGCAAGCAACCTTCTAAAAAATATAGCACGAGCTATTGAGTGAGAATATCTTCAAAATTTACAAAGGCTGATGTCCATCGTATACTATGGAACTAATTATTTAACAAAACTTGTACAGAATCAAAATACACAATACAAATACACAATACAAAAGCCATGTTTGTAATTATCATAAAAGATTTTAATCCCAGGATTTAAAGGAATCTTGTTCTGAAATATTCTCATTCGAAAGTTCTTCTTTCATAGAGTCGAAGGACTCCCATCCAAACCCACAGTTCTGCAGCTATATATAAAAGAAATTCAAAAACTGTATTATTAAATAAAAACGATAAACCTCATTAGAATGATAAACTTTAAATGATCATACCAACAACAGTCGCAGCACAAGTGACATATGTCAAAGCCACAGGGAATTTAAGATAGCTAAAGAACAACCATGTGGCAACAACAGCATCGCCAAAGTCACAGACAAAATCGGCCATTGACAAAACCAATGTGGGTAGACTCCATCGTGCTTTTCTCTACAAGGTAAATAAATTATTAAATAACACCACGAAACTGTGTCAAGTGCATAGGACAGCTGGCATTCGAATAATCGATTCGTTTGTAGACAATGAATACACAATTAGTCCATCAGTATCTCCTGCACGCCATGTTCACAGTTTATATACTGAGCGCATCCTTCAACAGCAAGACAGTGGCCATATCAATAACCTATTTCCATCAGAGGTAAAATATTGATCAATAATCAATTACCGTTATCAAAGAATATAGAAGCATACAAGCCGCAACGGAGGATACCAAGGAATAAGGAGCCGAGTATCCTCGATTCAAAGTAATCACTGCTCTGTGAGATGAAACAAATCCAGTAACGGCACTTCCGTTCTCCAGGAGGCTGTAGACAGTACGACCATGTCGTAGGTCATAGAAGCTCAGCACCAAAACAGAAACGGCCAACAATAACGCCTGAACAGTGTGACAAGTCTCGGTTTCCTGTGGCAGCGATTTTCGCTTGATTTGGTAGCTTCTTGATTTCGTCGTTCCTGACAGCGTGGAGTCCGGGAACTTGCGCGGTCTGCCTTTCCGAAGTGCAAATTCTCCCTCCGCACCCTGAAAGAAATACGTATGAGTTAATAAAATGTATTTATTTTTTCAAATACAAAATTTTGAAAAATCATCCAACTGCTTTTACTTACGGGCGATGCAGCATAGACCGTGCGCGAAGATTCAATTCTCCTATTATATCCTTCATTCTCCTGACCTGCTTGATTATTGTTATTCATTGCATTAATTTATTATGGTCCTAAAGGGTTACGTTTAATGGAACAATAATATTAAATGGCGATCGTACCGCCAAGCTGTGGCCGTTAGTGACTGACAATGATAATCGATCAGGATCGATACTGATCGTATTGCTTTGAAAATATTTTTATAAATTCATTTTACACCTGGACGATCCTTGGCGTGTCAGGTTATTGTGATGCCATCGTTAGCATCAACTGTCATTGTACTCTCAAGCTCTAAATTATACTCCGGTTTTACATGGACCTCGGGTCTCTTATCACAACAAATATCACATGCTAGATCATGGCGATTCGTGGACGTCGAAAGATCAGCGACAGTGCCGTAGGATATCGAGTGAGTTAATTAAAAAATTTCAAAATTCACACTAATTATTCAGATTTGCTACCGTTGACAGTTAACCTCCTAAAATACGTTTAACACATTTTCATTATAAATTGTATAATTTTCGTTAAATTTATATTTTACAGCGTGTTGGCCGCTTAGCGTGTTCCGTATGCGATCACTATATCATGGGAAGTCCCATCTACGTGATAATTTTGGGCCTGATTGGAACTGTTAGTCTATCGCAATAATACATTAATAGATAAAACCAATTCGTTATGTTAATCTAAAGAGAGTGTCACATACGCAAATTGGTTTTTCAAAAACACATTCTCTACCAAGAATCTCATAATCTCTCAAAAGTATCTTTAATTAAATATTTTTAAAAAGTATTGTAATATATTATACTTAACAGGTTATCACAGCTTTTGACATAATTCGCATTATGAATTACAAATTACCAATGAGATGCCCAACGCGTCCTAGAGGAGAGGAACTTGGTAAATTTATATGAATATTAATTCCAAATCAATTCACTTGCTTAGACCATTCGAATTAATCACTCTAATCGTATGTCCCTGCTACAAGTTCCCTTGGACGTGGAAAGAGATTTGAAGCTGATGACTTCGATCTTAGCTATTGAGCATTACACGTTAATAATGCTGGGCGCAATTACGGTACGAATACTTTTTAATCAAATATTCATTCTTTCTCTATTTAATAAGTAATAATATTCCAACAGGAATATCCAATGCTACACATACCCTGGTTATTGATGCAGCTGTGCGTCATCATCGTTGAAGTCATCGTTTTCTTCGTCAGACTCTTCCTGGACGGTCTGCATGTAAAGCACGATGAGATTTTGTTGGCAGTGATAACGGTTCACAATTGGATGCAAGTTTTCTGTCTCTTTCATTGGCAAGCGCGACGATCATTGTGAATCACCTGTGACAATCAATATTTTTTTTAATAATACTAATAAAAAGTTGTGGAATATTATACCAATGAAGTTTTAGCATTTTATATCAACACTTGATATTCATTCGCCTTAAAATGCAAATGGCCATGCAAATTTTAAGGACGAACGGTGAAAAACAATTCTGGCCTCTTACTATTAAATCTTCTATTTTATTGACGAGGATTGTTTTCATTAATGTTAATGTGCTCGTAAGCACTTAAGGAATTCAATAAACGTATGGTATAGGCAGGGAAATACTTTGCAATAGCAAATGACAATGTTCAACTGTTAATAAATTTCCAGATTTCTCTGAAACTCGCCATCTTTTTTTTTTCTTCTTTGACAAAACGTGCTTGTCAGTTCACCGAATGCTATGAGAAGCAACAAGACAATTTTCGGAATCGATGAGAGCAGAGAAGAAAAATTGTGCAGGTTGAATAAATTGCAAGCAAAAAAACCGTAAACGATAATAACATAGGTAGAAACGTCATGAATTCTGAACAGGATACTAATGTTGGAAATGGAGAATGTATCGAGTCTGTAGAAATTGTTCCGCGTGTCATAAATACAGCTACAACGAAGGTAACTAAATTTTTATAACCACCGCAGCAATAACAACAAGGAAAAAATAATATTGTAGGTGGCAGCACTATATCTGGGTATAATGTGTTTCGTGGCGAATTGTCTAAGTTCGATGATCCTTGAAGTGGTTACACGATTTCCATTAGGAAGTTCATCATCGGGAAAGTCAGGAACATTTAATTCGCTGTTTCATCGAAATTACAGTAACAGTAAATCTAGAACCAATCAATTAATTAGAGGCGTCAGTTACGGACGTTTGTTTTCAGGTCTGAGAATAAAAATTCTTGCCACTAATATCATCGCCGGTTTCACGGCCACCGTAATGATGTGTTGCGCTGATAAATACAAAATACCTTATCTTTATATACCTTGGCTTGTAAATACTCTCCAAGGGATGGCCATGTGCGAAGCACCAGCCCTTCTGAGATCCGCTTATGTATTACTACCAGAAGCTGGATTATCAGCTGGCATATTTTTCTTTATAACATTGTTGTTGTATGGTAAGAGCAGCAAGATTATGTGACAGAAGGTGCTTTTTAATTGGATTTATTATTATAGCAGTATATAATACATTTTTTATTTAGTCGAAGAGCTGTGTCTGTGGAACGATGTATTTGCAAATTTTTATCGTTGCTGGATCGAGTATAGTGCGAAAAGACAACAAGCAGCTAATGAAATTATAAACGAATCCCGACTGGACAGAAGGCATCGAATGCTTGAACGAAATATCGAATTTATTCTTGACAATGAAAAGTTATCAAAGGAACGCATAGATTCCGGTGACGGAATTCGCAAGTTATCAGCAGTTGCTCCAATCTCATCAGCAACATTTGAGACTAATTTCGATTTCAAGGGACATCTTGGTAGGAGCCGATTTACAAATATAACCGGATAATTAAAACGTATAAGGTCCAACAAATGTTTTACATAGAACAATGGTAATACTGAAAAACAAGAGTAACATTATTGAAAAGTAGAATATTTACTGACTTACCCATTGAAGATACGTTTCCTCATAGTACACAACACTTGCCGCTCATCGACAAGACAATATGGCGTCCTTTGATTCTTCTGCGCATGCGTCGTCCGATTCACATTGCCGCACGACGCACGGGGGTTATTGTCTAGTAGTGCGCCGGTTAGAACCCGTTTCTGGTTGTGTGTAACGGATTCTCTTTGAAAACTTGATATCACGGCTTTAGCTCCAGTATTATACATATTTCCTTCGAGTTCTCGCTCAGTTAAACAGTCAGTGCAGTGAGAGGGTGAAAATACTGAGAAAAATATCAACCTTGAGCACAAGAGACATTTTTGGAGGGAATAGTTGAGGTACGTTAATAAAGTCCTACATGATTTTTAGGTTAGTTACTGCCGTCTAGTGAAAATTCAAAATTATTAATTATAAATCCTTACGTTATGATATTCTTCGTTTTTCAGTAAGCTCTCTCGACTCAAGAACTTTTTCTAATTATACCACTATTAATCTTTTGTTGTCCTACTTTCGCGTCTCGTAAAAAAAAACGTGCCGTTTCCCGGCATTCAACACGTTTTTCTTTCAATTCATTATTTCTAAATAGATAATCACGATTAAAGAATCTATTATAAATGGCCTTCATTTATTCTGTATCGCAATAATATCTATAATTTTCATAAATCTCGTATCATATTCTAGGAAAAAGTCGTGCGCATGGTTATCCCGTTGTGTCGTATAAATCAAATAAAATGGCACAATGTGTGCATACGTGTGTTATAACATACGGCATGAGCGTCACGTGTTGCTAAATAAATGCATAGAGTACTTATATCGCGTACGAGAAAAGTAAAGCTTGACATTTTGCGCAACTTGGTACTCCTCCAGAAATATATATATAGATTTAGAAATACATTTTACAATTTGTAAGTACTTGTTTATTAGAGTAGGTCGCATACAGCGATGAAATATGAAATAACTGGGATAGATGTATATACTTTTATTTATTGGCATTCTTTTATTTCACGGCATGGCACGTCAGCCGCGAATTTAACAAACAACAAGAAAACAGGTAAAAAATATAACGCTACTATCCAAGAACCAGGGGAATCAGAGTGAATCCGCCGTTGGCGCCGAAATTGAAAGCGTTGAAACTCTTAAAAATTAATGGACGAAATTATTCGCAAATTACTTCTCCACGTATTTCCATCTATGTTTATAATAATAGACAGACATGGAACTCGATCGATTTCATTTATATTTTTCTTTCTTTATTCAATCTTTGTTGTCGCACTGCACTGCAACTCGTCGCGAAGCTAATTGACTGTAAACATACGCAAGGTTATTCCACTTATAGGTAGTTTAGATACTTTATACTACTGATACTAGTTTTCTAATGTCAAAAAAGGTTAATTCAATTTATTTAATTTTGTAGCTTGTGTAGGTAGCAGCGTGTACCCTATAGGTATACATATATGTGTACATCGGCATATTCGGCTGCAAGTCCAATAAGATTTAGAAGCAGCTGCATCGTCTTTACAATAGAAAGTATTTCTAATACGAATCGAACGTATTAACTTCGTTCAACTTAAGGCGGATACGTAGGCTGCTTTATTTTAATTGGAAATTTTTAATGGTTGAAAACGCTTTATTTCTCCAGCTGCAAACTGCTATCCTGTCTGTTACCTCGTATGTACTCGAGATACGTAGAGACGTATTCAGTATCGTGGAAAATATTGGAATCTTATTGTACAACATTGGATTATATTTTTTTATAATTAATACGATGTTTAATTCACTAGACCAGTTTAAAGGTTGCAGGTAAACGTTGAGACAAATCGATTGATTTCTTATTTCCCTCGAAATCCCGTTTCTAACCTTAAATGTCTGTTTTCCATTTACTTCGTCCTTTTTTCCAAGTTTTATTTGTCAGCTGCTCGGAAATTCTATGATTTAGTGTCCCAACGGTTTTTGGATACCTGAAGTGGGTCCTTTTGAAAAGTGAAAACTTCGTCCATTGTGTGCTCGGATGTCAGAAAACCATCTCAACTTTGTTCATAAAATTCTTAAACCGACAGGTCCACCTTCCTCTCAATGGAACAACCATAATTGGATATATGCATTATTTATATGAAATCCAATTAAACTTTTACCAACAATCGTACAAGCTAATAAGCTCTGCTCTGGACGATTTTCAAAGAGAACAATGATGAAGCTCAACGTCGACGAAACTAGTTGATATTAAAAAAACTAACGCTTATCATCCCACGAAACGCTTGACACTTAGTTATGAAAACGTATAAAATTCAACAATTACTAAAGGATACGCAAGGACGTCATGAATATTGTTCAAATTTTATGCTGCGCATGAAAAAATTCTTTTGGACAAGGATCCATCTGATCTTTTGTTTTCCCTTAAGGAAATTATTATTTTTTTTAAATATAATTCACGTTGGAAGCACAAACTTCCGCCTTCGAGGTGATCCTGACTTCTTATAGATAATCCCAATCAATTCCATTCAACTTGCAAATATAAATCCAAAGGCAGTCTCTCCCTTCACAGTACCAGTAGCCACCAAATACTGTTTGGTCACTCGTGGAAATTCTCTGGATATAGAAATACGTGTATTTACAATCGGCCATGTTGTTGCATCGTCACAAGATGGCGTCAACAAGAATTCCCAGGCATAAATTAATTGTCCAAACTCCAATGACCTCCTCCCCCAATCAAAATACAAAAACATTATAATCATAATAATGTCTTCCTGTACCAGCCGATGACTCTTCATATCCTCTTCAACAACCTCCATCCTTAAACCTCGAACGCCTCCCACTGCTACGCTATCATGGCTGCTATCGGACTGAACCTCATGATTTTACTGAGGAGTATCCAGGCGACCGAAGCAAGTGCGCAGAGGGTGACGCCACCCCAGCCGAAATCGAGGCTCCAGGAAGTCGTAAATCTTCGTGCCTTCAAAATGCTCTTCGGCACGTGTCCACCTACGACGCCATCTTCAGGACCATCGATTATCCTGGGTCCACGATCTTGAGCTCTTTTGAAGTGGATAATGGTCAGCGTGAAGAGGGCGAATGTCGCTGAAATTTTATCAATGGAAAATTCATCGTATTTTAATCTCGCAAATATCTGTCATACAAGCTAAGCGTATCAGAGTCAGGTTTTTTTTTTAATAACATTTACCGCAAGCAATTTTACAATAAGGAATTTCGTACGTCATTATAGATGGTTCTCGTCGTTTCTAAATGTCAAGTAAGGATTTAAGAAACGAGGGGTCGGCTTTCACACGTGAAAACGTATTGCGGTCGCCAAATTCCAATATTTCTTAAAGGTCTGATGCTTAAACATTTCTGGTTTTTGCTCGTTAAAAATCTTTACTACCCTCATCATATCAATCTTTTCATCCTATTTGCGGTTTGGCGTGTGGTTTGCTTAATTGAAAATTTTTTCTCTCGTATATTACCACGTCACTCACTGTGACTCATTTGAACTCACGTAGTCGTGTATATACGTGATAAAAAGTCAGGATAAATTTATGCAGATTCACGTCTATCCTACGTCCAGGAGGAATGTATTATTTCAGGAATATAAAAAAAAAACAATTTCAAGTCATTCACATTTCATATGATCATGGACTTGTTATGGTTAAATGTAAATTTCACAACGCGTACCCCTAACCTACCTCACAGAAAGGCTCCCATAGTTTACTTAAATAAAATGAAAATTAAAGCTTATCCAGTACGCGCGAATTCAGTGATCAAGTCTGTAGCAAGTGTTTTTAATTACTCGTGGTTAACGATTAACGAGATAAAACAATGAAATGAAATATAAATTAGGTGCGGGAACGTCTAGTCTTCGTTTATCGTTTACTTACCTGCCAGTAAGTACATAACACCGGTAACCAATACGGCTGATATCTGATGACGACACAGTCCAAAAAATCCCACGAGTACAGCACTGCCCAAAATTATTAGACAGACCAGAGAGCAGGATATACTTAAATTTTGCATTCCTGCAAATAAAGACAATTTTTCTAACTGACTTTACGCCGGTATTACAATTAGAGATTGGGTTAACGTTCGCGTGTCGTGCGTCTGTTTCGCAGCTCGAATTGCTTCGGTCTTCCGACGCCATTTCTCAAGCGGAAGCGGAAGCCTTTCCGCTCGTGAAAAAGTTTCTCCTTGGGTACTCGCCCACCTCGTTCAGCTCAAAGGTTAAAAGCTCCATATTCACAGGGGCGCCAGGAGTCACGGTAAGCGTAGGTTGAAAACTCGCAAGGAAAGTTTTTCAAGTTGATTCTCACGTTATTGGATACGAAACCCTCACGTGTCGTGAAGTTTGACTTTCCGAGTGGGTTGAAGTTTCACAAGCCACAATACGTGATTCATATCGGCCTACGTCACTGCTCGTTTGAATTTCGCGCCAAGCAAAACAACCAGACAATATGATAAAATGAACTTTGAAATTTTTCTTCAGTTTTTCTGTATAAGAAAAAAGTGACGCCGGAGGGTATTTTTGACTTAAAAAAAAAAACGTAAATTCGTGAACTTTTACATACGGACAGTTTGAGAACTGCCGATGGTAGAAATATGAAATTTTGAAGTTAAACGACGAAAGCACATTTTTACTTCAGGCAACGAACGCAAGAATTTTACTCACTGTTTTGCCAAGTAGCTCGAATTTCCTCGTGAGCCTCGTCAGGCGTCAGGTAATTTATGCATCTTTCCTGTGGGAAGCCGATCTGAGCCAATAGCCGTATTTCGTCCTCTGTAAAGAAAAATTGTGTTAATGGTGGCTAAACGGAATTGTCATAAATACGGTATCTGTAATACAAGATACTTCGTGCACGTGAATAACACGTAAATCAATATTGGAATTCTATGAAAATAGATCGATCAAGTTCAGTGGGTCTAGGCTAGTGGAGTATCTGTCTAGTAATACCTCCTTGTAGGAGCCCATTATAGGTTCCTCGTACTACTCACAGTTTACGTAGCAGAAATCATGAGAACCGACTCGAACACGATCGCGCTATTCTATTTTTATGAAACGACCAGTTGGAAAACAATTTTAAACTTTATCGATATCCGTAATGATCGTCGTATTGTTTTTTTTATTTTTATTGAAATTGCGCAATATGGTTTTCAGGGAAAAAAACAACCGGAAGACTCGTAACGTACTTACTTAAAACGGAAGTCAAATTATGTTTAAATAATTTACTTATTTACAATCGAATTATTGATAATTTTTCAGCCGTGGCTCTTTGGCTGTATTTAATTTCTGTCTGTGTGAATTTCGCTTTTTTTTTAAATTTTTATCCCATAGATTCGTGCACAATAATGAAACACGAGTGTCGTTTAACGAGTTACTCAATTTTGAGTTTCGTAAACGGCGGAAAATTCGTTGGTCGTAATTACCAAAGTTTTATATACATATATATAACAACAAGAAAATTGCGGGTGTTAGTCGGTGCTTGGCGTGACGAGAAGCCGTAAAATTTGTTCGCGTAGTCTTGTTAAAACGCAAAAACGCGTTCTGAGAAATATTTCTTTTAGGTTCCTCATATTTTTCAACCCCAATTTTTCTCTCGCTTCCCATAAGTAAATTTCGGCAGATGACGCGAAGGGATGATTATCTGATTTATTTCTTTTTTGACGTGACTGTCCTCAAAAATAATCGTATCGAACAATTATTAATGAATTAGCAACTTTTATAGTCATTCCGGTCGTCTACCCTATTTTTTAAGTGCTTTTGGCGTAAATTTTTAATTGCTTATCTGTACTTATGGAATATTTGTAATCGTTAAATAACGTAACGAGCCGTTTATACGGAAATCATGGTAAAATGCATTTTACGGTTCAGTCACTTTACGGAAGTATGCTAATTTCATTATTTTTTCCAAGCTGACCTTTATTCATTATTTATTGCTGTAGCAACTTCCGAAGCTTCACGTGACTTCCGGGATTTAAGTTCATTGACAAATTATTCTATGGTACAGGGTGTATACATATACACATATTTTTTTGCCCGTATTATTCATTGTATTTTTTTGCCAAAATTCATCTTTATGTAGAGTTCCAATTTTTTTTATGTAAACACCATAGAAACACAAAGGGTATATCCTTTCCGTAATGGAGTTTACGCCAGCGTTCAATTTCCGGTATATGGATTACTCATTTCCTTTCTGAGAGCCAAGAATATTCTCAAAACAAAAGACGTCAATTGATTCGATAGGCGGCTTCCGAGTAACGAAATTGTCGTGATTTTTTTTGGAATAGGAAAAATTTTTCGGCCGATTTACCTATATCAATTGTAAGAATAAAGCAGAAAGAATAGTGACAATCGAAGCTGCTAAAAAAATGATGAAAGACCGCAACTTAACAAAGAACCCTTTTTTTCTCTTTTATTAATACACAAAAAAACTGCGGGTCATTAGGAAAGAATTTATAACTTCTCGACCTACCCTCAAGGATCATTAACGCCGACACAATGAAGAATAAAAATTAAGGTGAAACCGGCGCAGCCATATTCGCATTCACGAATACTTAGGTTTTGTACTCATTAGAACTTCGTCAATTATTGTCAAACGAACTTAAAGGTCTTTCATTGAATCAGGCACAGGTCGAACGAACGCCTCACCGAATTTACACTTTTATACAGCACAGCACTCTATCGAAAATATTTGTTAGCCCCTTATGAGAATGAAGGCTATATTAATTAAAAAATTATGGTAACGTGTAATTATTTTTGTAACAAATGCCCAAAGATTACCCCGTAATGTCTCGCCGGAGTGAATTTAAAAATATTATTTATTGGAGAGATGACAATAAAATTGCCTAAAAATGTATGACAGTGACGTCATAGGCATCTAAAATATTTTCAAGGAAGAGTAAACCTATTAAAAATATTTTTGAAGCAAGTTAACAGTGTCATCCCTCGTAAAAAAAAAGGCCAGACGGCGTTTTGTTTGAGCATTTGTTATAAAAACTGTTGTGTCTAGCTGGTACGAATGGGTATAAGACTCGTATGATTGGTGCACTCGCCTAACAGCTCGTGTATCAAACTTCACGCTCGTGTCTTATACTATTTCGTACTGGATATGATAAAATACTATTATCTTGTATACATGAAATTGACGGGGCCAACTTCAGCCGATGCGTTTCAGTTTACTAATTCAATATATTATCGTCCCGGTAGAATTCCACCCTTGGTACCTGGCTCGCACATACCGCATACAAGATTATTTAAGGGTTGAGACCTTCTGCAAAGGAACATCCAGGACGCGGTCACGCAACCTAACCTCTTACTGTCTACAATTTAGATCCTAATCACAGCGATCAATATGACCAGGCAGTGTCAAGGCGTTAGTCGTACAGTGTTAGATACATCGAATTTTCACTGAAATCAGTTGTTCGTCTACGATCTGTTTACGAATAAAAATGTTACGTAATAAAAATAAAAAAGGTTGAGATACCTAAAAGAAAAAAATGAAAGCTATTTTCTCTTTCGGAAAATCAAGTAAAAATCGTCACAGCTTACTTTTGCGTTTATCCTTCTCTTCCTACGGGAAACCCTATTTACGATTTATTTTTATGGAGTCCTACCAACTCGTCAGGAAAATCTAACCACGCGTATTTCGTTGTTCCCAACGAAACGGCCTGTATAACTGTAGTGCGTCACTTGACATTTTATTTCTCTAGTCCTTCCTTCGTGTTATTCTCCGGCACAAACCCTTATTGGAAATAGTTACGTGCCTACGTCGTAGAATCGAATGCTGTTTTTGTCCAACGAGCAAACATTCTTTTTTCGTAGTCCAAGACTTACCGCGTTGCCGAGACACTGTGGAAGGGACGCGTCTGTGTTGTGATCGTCCGGATTAAAATTTCATCAAGGACATAGACTGTCTGTCGCTTATAGAGAATTGTATAGTTTCGAGCAACGTTGTGTACAAGCTTCACGCCACTCTTCATAGGATTCTTTTTAGAGCTTCATTACTATGCAAAGCTCTTTAGCCTTTTTTTTTTACTCTACAAACTCCACACCATTCAATCGATACTCTGTATCTTGTTACGGGAATTTTGTTTTCTTGGAAAAATCGTCTAGTCGCCGTACTTATGTATACTGACCTGTCAAGGAGACACAGAGTGTCCATATACCGCCGTGCATTGGCACCAAGAATGCTGGCTGAAAATAATGACCTTTATGACCCGAGAATAATTCCAGCATAGCCACCTGACCGTCCAGGTACCAGGTCGGAGTGAAATTTTCCTTTGCTAGGGCTTTCTTATCCCAGCTAATTTCTTCCCAATGATCTGACATTATGGCGCCGCAAAGCATGCCGGTCGCTGAAACGAAAAATGTAAACATTCAGGACAACGAGACAGCAAACTGTATTCAAGTAAAATGAAACGAATCAAATGCAATCGATGCCGAATTTTTGTCTGGGATTTTAAGGTTAAAGAATGGGATTCTTCATTCTTCGAGCAGACTGGATCTTATTCTTACATTCAACCGGTGGCCATTTGCAATAATAATTATAACGACGGTCCTCTACAGGCTGTTAAATTTATCGGAATCGGTTGGCGCGAAAATTCAAATTACTATTTAATTGCGTCTTTCAAGACCGAATTGCAATGTAAAAGTTTGAACCCGTTATGTCATTTCACAGTCACGTGCGACCTTTCTTGATTTTTTTTTCTTACAATTTAAGGAAACAGTCTGCGTGTTTGTGTGTACTCCATGCTAAATTCTATTGTTCTCGAGAATACTACGAGAATTTCGTCACGCAGCAGACTGATCGAGCACGCGGAGTTGGTATTCTAAAATGTATTAATAGCGACTACGGTAATTTTACATTGTATATTAATTTTCGAATTGGTATTAATAATTGCTGTCCCATAATGCCTTAAGGTATTAACTCTCTGGTTATGATTTAAATATCAAATTTGATGTTAATTAATATTTTTGTCATTTAATATTTTAGTATTTTCACAAAACAACTCACTGGGCTATGCTCACGCAATTCCAAAGGGTGTTTATTGGGAGAAAAAGATGAATGAGATTTTGCATGGATTTTTTTTAGCAATTTAATAAGGTCTTCGCGAACTCATTAGGTGACCTTAAAAATTTACCTGCTAAGGTTAGAGCCAACGTGGCAAGCAGGAAGATCAACCGCGGCGCGGGGTTCCTGGGTACACGGGAAGGCTCCATCCCTGGTCATGCCCAGGCGCCCACTGATACCCCCAACGCGTAAGGGATGCTTCGCGACCGGCCGACACTCCGATGTGAACTAGTGCGAATATTCGAGTTCGCCGCCCCTCCTTGCATCGACGTCGCGACGCTCGCGCCCTCGCTCTACCGTGCGACGACGCCAGCCATCGACCGTATCCCAACACTCCCCACTAGATAGGACGGATGCTGCGGATGCTGAGAGTACGATAGGATTTGGTTCCTCTTACCTTCTTTCTCTTTAGTATTGTACCATGTCTTTTTTTTTTTAACGAAACATATCGGTATGCGATGACGTTCTTATTTTTTTACTGCACAACTTGCAAGTTAAACCAGCAAAAATTCGCGAGAAAACCCATTGGGGTTGCTAATGGATTTTTAGACATTTTTGTTTTTGGCCTTTTTTTATTTTCTCTATCTCCACCCTTTAATCGTCAATTGCTTTTCGCTGTACCAATCAATGCGGATTTCGACGCTTTACGTATTCGGAACGACCGATTGATTTTTTTTTCTTTTTTTTTTTTAAAGGTCTTTTTAGGAACAATTTATCCCCAGTTTCGCGTAAAGCTAACGCGTCGACATACGATAAGATAGTTACGATAGATTATGTGTGGGTGGAACCGTTAAAATGGGCAAATCGAAATAGTCGTACGATAAGAATATTTTTATATTTAAACAAGGAGGAGTTACGCAGATTGATAAATTTACCTATTTAAAAAAAAAATACGAATCGTTGCGAAATCGTTAAAACTAATATTCGAAATACCTAAGGACACGTCAAGTTCTCGTATAAATGTTACCTTAGGTACTGAAACATGGTCTAGCACCTCAGCATAATATTTCCCAAGGGTGATCTGTCCTTTCTGCAAATAAGAATCCATACGCTGTAATAAATTTTGCATTACACGTACTTTATCGTGACGTAATACGTCAGCGCGACAGATTCAATGTTTTTTATGAGTATAAATACGTAATTCTTTTTGCTATAATTTTAAAGCAGCCAGGGACACACGTGTGGAAGAAAAATAATATGAATTTAATATCAGAGCGCTTTAGGCTGATTTTCGATATTCAAATTTCGAATTAATTATCGGTTAACAGCAAATGATTAATCGGCCTCGTTTTTCTAACCAATAACCATATATTACATATATATCAATGTCACGTGATAAGGTTACAAACAAGGATAGTTGTCGGTTATAATTAGTATCACAACAGAGGTTTCAAGTTTTCCGATATCAGTATCGCAAACGTCATACGTCTTAATATACTTGTGTATATATATTGTATCTACTATCAATTAATATGCAAATGACTATGAGTAACAGTGGATAATCAATAATAGTAACTTTCGATGATGGAACGCAAGATTAGAATATCAATCATGCTGGGGTCAAGACTCCATTTTGATTAGAATATGCCGAATCAATTCATTATTTGATGTTATGTAGATTGCAATTTGAAAAGCTAACCCGAAGACATTTGATTTTCGCAGCCTGTAGGGAAATTAGATCATAATGTCGTTAAGGTAGATTTCTGTATTATTTTTTTAAGAGAAGAAAAAATTTTCATATTCTGTCATGATGAGACTTGTCCTCCTCGTATGTTGTTCGTGACTGGTACTTCTGTACAGGCGGTGCAAGAAGGATATTTTTCTTTGGCTTACTGAGAAAATAGAATTTGATCGTTGGTGGTAAAATCAACAGGAGTTGTCCATTAAAGTAGAACAACTTGTAGTACCGGTATCAGCTGGACGTCCAATTGAAGAGGGTGCTGTGGTAACTGATAATATTTTTATTTACCCTTTCTTACTTTTGCAGATGGCTGACGTAGCTGAGAATGCACCTATCACGGATCCTGCCATGGCTATTTCTCAAGGCAAACGTCACCTCCTGGTGCGCGACTACGGGATGGCTGTAGCTGTCCTAGCCGAGGCGCTGGAGATCCTCACTCAGAAGCACGGCGATCTGGCGGACGAGCTTGGTGAACCATACTTGCTTTATGGACGTGCACTTTTGGGATTGGCACGTGAGGAGGCTGGTGTCCTGGGCGATGGTATTGCTGGGTCCGAGGATGCCGAGGAAGAGGAGGATGCTGAGGAGGAAGATGGGGATGAAGAGAAACAGAATAACGCTGATGAGAAGGATGAGGTGGAAGATGAGTCTGCTATTGTGAATTCTAATGCCGAGGAGAAGGAGGATAAAACAGAGTCCAAGGATGAAAAGGACACCTTGCAGGGGAAGACCGAGGTGGTGAAAGATGCTGAAACAGGAGAGACCGTTGCTGCTAAGAGTGCAGAATCTAAGGACGAGAGTAAACCGGAAGAAGCTAATAAAACTGATGACAGTAAGATCGCTGAACGGAAGGCAGAGGACAAAAGTAAGGATCAGCCAGGACAGTCCAATGAGAATAAAGTAGTAGCCAATGGCGAATCGTCCAAGACGAATGGCGATGTTGCTGAAGCCAATGGGGACGATGAAGAAGATTTGAGTAAGGACGAGAACAACGAAGCGAATAATCTCCAAATAGCCTGGGAAGTATTGGAACTGGCTAAACTGATATTACTAAAACGTGGTCCGACGGGATGGAAAGGCTTGGCCGAGGCTTATAGACTTCTTGGAGAAATAGCTATGGAGGATGGCAATCACGAAAGAGCCTTGGTAGATCTTCAGGGCTGTTTAGATCTTCTTGGAAAGATTGAACCCTGCGAGCCTCGTGCCATCGCCGAGATACATTACCAGCTTGGACTAGCACACTCATTGGCCAATGACTTTGACGCCAGTATAGAACAGTTCAAAGAAGCCACCACGTTACTAGAGTCGCGTATAAAGCAACTCGAGGAGACCACCGACGCCCCTAAAAGCGATAACCCTTTCTATACGATCGAGGGTGAGATAAAGGAGCTCAAGGAACTCCTGCCGGAAATTCAAGAAAAAATTGCAGACATGAAGGACTTCAAGGAGGAAGCTTGTAAGGTCGTTTTAGAGGGTATCAAGAACCAGGTAGCTCGCGAGTGCAGAAATGGAGCAGGTACCAGCGGAAATGATGGTGCGAGTTCATCAGCTTCCGGTAGTTCACCGAAAATTATAAAACCAGCCAGTGACATATCGCATTTGGTGCGCAAGAAACGCAAGGCTGATGAAACGGAAACGGAAGCAGCGTCACCATTGAAGAAACCGACGCCTGAGAAAATTGCCTAAAAGAAATAGGAATTAAACGTGAAATAACAACAATGTGAATTGTGTAATCGAACAATTCTGACTGTAATGGCGTACTTGAACGCATCTCGTGTCTGGCGGCGCTGCATCTGATATACGAGTTTAATACAAGAAAACAAATTTTATTTCGTATTTTTTAATCGTAAAGTCACGAGATAAAACGTCTAGCATTTGTCGTATAAAAACACAAGACTGACATCCAAAATTTAATATTTTACTTTGTCTTTGCTTTTAACTTGTATCATTACGTTCTGTCCGAATGATTTCTTTTCTTTCTTATTTTCTTATTTCTTCGATATTAATCGCGCGTAATACTCCTTGCCAGCGGTTGCACAAGTTTTTGTTTTCCTACAATTTCAAAATTTTTTTATTTATTGTCTATTGAAGACTCCTAGTGGTAAACGCGCTCGAGATCATTACTAGTATCATTACGGAGACTCATGAACTCATTGTTTTTGGATATACAAACCTTCGTAAGATGGCTGAGAAGTGAATGAAGAAAAACCAGAGCCGTGATTCATACGTACATAAGAATAAGTAATAGTTAATAAAAGTTGAATGATGTTTTTCTAAAATTGCATATTTACTTTATTCATATCTTGAACTTTTATACATATACTAACAGGTACAAATTGGACGGATTGGTTTTTATACAACCGATATAAATCTTAGACGTGCTTTAGAAGACAGGCGGATTTTTTGACGGCTTTTATACGTTTTCATTTGAAACATTAATACATATACTAAAGCGATACTGTACGAGAAATATGAGACCCAATGTAGAATCGAACAATCTACTTCCCGTCTTTTAAAAGTTAATAAGATAATAGCTATAAGTATCCAATTACTCTCCAAGTAGTTCCTCTATACCGTCATCCTTGTCTGAACTGTCTTGCCGTTGAACATTTATCTTGTAGCCAAGTACTTCCAGTAAATTAACGTTAAAGTAGTAACTAAGATTTATACCAGGAACAAGACGCTTTAATTCCTCAACAGTAGCACGTGCTTTGTTTGTCTCTCCTATGTTAGCATAGTGTTGCGTTATTGTGGCGAACAAATCACCGCGTCTGACCGATTGCTCCAAATCAGAACTCTGAGAATCAATCAACTGACGAACTTGAGCCATAGCCGTTTCCGTTTCTCCTCTGTCGAACAACCTGAAGCGAAAAAAGTAATTATTAAACGATACTGAAAATCAAAAAATCAACAAAATCACTAGAATAATGTTAGTATATACTTTTTAATGTCCAGGTAACGTTTGATTGTAGACATTCTTCCATTAACAACGTCCATTGCCCTTTTGTGCACTTCCGGATCACGTGGCGAACTGACCTTGGCCAAACATCTGCTGGCTTGATTAAGAGCATCCAGGGCTTTGTCATAATTTTGAAACTCATCAATCTCCACCTGAGCACAAGCTACGTAGAAATTTGCTAAAAGATCCATAGCTTTCCCTTTGGAATAAAAGTTTATTATGTTCTTCAACACTTCCGGTTGGTTCTGCCAATCTAATGATTGCAGATAATTCCCAGCCATTATATAAATCTCACGTTGTCGTGAGACCTGGGCGAAGAAGCAGATTTTTTCAGTATCACCAGACTTCAGTAATGCCTTCATAGCTCGTAATTTATTTCCGGCTTGAGTAAATTTCTTCGTGGCTAAATGATAATTTCCTTGCTCAAAGGCTATCTCGCCGATTCTCTCCAGGGTAGATATGCGAGATCTTTCGCGTTCTGGATCGTTCTCAGCCTTCTCCAGGGTCATTTTTTCTGCCAGGTCTTCGGTCAGGACTATGTTATGGGCTTCGATTAAGTCTAAGGCTTCTATGTATCTCTTTCCCGTCGCCAATAGATCCACTGCCTTGTCTACTTGCTCATTTTGTACAAAGTAATCGGCACACTTCTGTATCAGGGCAGGATCTGAGTCTGCGTTTACATCCATTGTTATTAACTGAAGCGCATTGTATTGTTGTGTCTTAAATGCAAGGTCTAAAGCTTTTCGTAGTAGTCCTGCCTTGTGATACAGTAATACAGCTTTGTCAGGCTGATCATTCTCTTCGTAGTACTTTGCTGCATCTATTTGGGACTGTCTTGGAGCTAGCATAGCTAGTGGCCATAGTTCCTCTGACATATCATTCTCCTGCGATGGACAAAAATGATTGAATATCTCAATAATATTTTATCATTATCTAAAATATACCTTGCAAAGTCTAATAGCATTGGTGTAAGCTCGGGCCATACTGTAAAAGTGTACTGCTTGAGCTACATTATTCTTTGACTCGTAATGAGCAGCCAAATGATAAGCAGATGCCGCATGATTGGTCCTCATTACTAATTCGCAAACTTCATCCTCACGATTCAAATAACATAGTAAACGTGTCATGGCCAGATTGTCATTTGCATTTTCATAAAGTTTCAAAGCAGTTTCCATGTCTCCGGTAGATTCAGTATACTGAGCATGCCAATTTTTTATTTCTCTGAATAAAGAATGACCTATTTCGGTAATTTAATCATTTAAAGATAAAAGAATATTGAACAAAATACTAACAAGTCATCGCTGTTTGTTAAATAAGCTTGCAGTTCTCTAGGTCTGAGAAGTAACATTCTTGGTACTTCGAATCTGTGACAATCCGCCTTGGTATACATATCTATAGCTTCCGTTATTTTACCATCCTGCTCCAGAGCTTTAGCATAGTTATAATAACTTGTTTTTTCACGAATTTTATTCTCATTTGATGCCAATTCGATAGACTCTTCGAACTTATTACACGCTTCCAGCAGACTACAAACAAGGTCCAGCCTCTTTGCTCCACGAAAGAGCCGTATGGCATCGTTCTACAACACAATAAATATCTTTCTTAGTTTACAAAATGATGTCCAATTATTTTTAAGTGAAACATTATTATTTTTCTTACGTGCAGACCAAGTTCCACTGCCAATACACCAACTTTGGCATCCAAATTTAAACTCTCATCCTGCATCGCTTCTCTAAGTGCTCTGGCACCTCTGGCGTGTTTCATGTGACCCAAGCAGAGAACTGCCATGTCTAATTGTTTGGTCTTTACACACATTCTGGCTAGGCTCTTCCAAATAGCTTCGTTTTGGATTGTTTTTATAGCCTTGAAGGCTTCATCCATGTTAGCTATACTTATATAAAAGCTGAAGTCCAATATAGCCTTTTTAGTAGCTGTGTCACATACACCGAGTTCCTCGAAATCTCTCATTAATAAACGAACCACTTTGCTCTCGCTAGTTTGTATAATTTCGGAATTTAAAATTATTATATAAGGTGACTGTACACCCAGTAATCTGCAATTTTCGTCCTTAATCGAACGAACGTCCTGGATAACGATACCGTGATCCGGAGTGGCAAACAGCGATACCAAAACCACAGAACTTGATACTTCCTATAATTATGTTAATAATGTTATGTCTATTAACTATTAGAATCAATTAGTTTGATTACTTTATCTTCGATTCCAATTAATCTGGACGTGGGTCTGGAGTCTCTAGTCTCTAATTTTTGAGCTCTGCATATCAGAAGTCTTGGATCATCCGCATCCCAGCAATGAGCTGTTACAAGTCTTCCCTTGCATTTGGAAGCTCTAAATGAAAATATTAGATATTAATAGAATGTTCACAGTTTTTATGATCCATTTATAGTGCAATGACTTACAGCGAAGAATCATTGTCATCGTTAACATTGTCGTTGTCCGCAAAGTCATATTCATATATCTGGTCAGTCTCAATATCCCAGATATAAAGTATGGAACTTGGCATAAGATTAGCCATAGCAACAGTTATGGAAACACAACGACAATCAATGTTGCATCTAGCTTCGATAATCTCAGCAAAGTCATCGATAGCTTCATAAGCAGTCATTGCTCTTGTATATAATTTAGCCTCTCGTTTACTCAAATCCCAAATTTTGAGGATTCCATTCAATGAAGCAACTGTCAAGTATTGTCCTGTCAATTCCATAGCTATAGGTTCACCTTCTTCAGGTGTGGTTGGCAGAGTTTGATTGATAGTTCCTTCCATAGATCTTAACTGAATGGCAACGGGTGTCAGTATAATTAAAGAACTATCGTGAATTAGAATTTTCTCAGTGTCGCAGTTAAATGATCCTATAACCGTCGTATGTAATGTGCTATCCTTGTTGATCTTATAAACAGCAATATGTCTGCTGGAAGATACAGCAATATATTCTCTGTCGACAGCAACAATCTGTACTTGTATATCTGTTTTCAGTGTATAAGACTGCGCTTCAACTTCAATGAGTATCTGTTTTGGAGATATCTGACTAGCAGAAACTCCATCGTTGTACGAAGCACACATTGGTTGTTGCCGAAGGATAAAAACATTTGTAATACAATTGACAGCTAACAATGGACTGCGCAAGAAAGTAGCTCCCCATATAAGTTGCTTAACGGTTCCATGAATTGTACAAGATTCTGGTATCGTAGGCCAGCCATTCTCATCGGAGTCATTATTGCTTTTGCGTTTCCAAAGATAAATTGTACCTAGATTAGTACCAGCTGCCAAAGTACCTGATGGATAATTGATTATGCAATTAAATGTCAACTTATACTTTGTTGTTTAATAATTACCATTGTTTTTGCAGAAAGATAAACTAGTACAGATCTCCTGAGGTGTAGCAATATTACCAGTAGCAGAATCTGGTGGCGATAAAACATAAGTATCTCCGGTATGAAGATCCCAGCATCTTACTGTCAATTCACCAGTAACCACTGCTAACGTATTACCACCGCACCAGCACAAGGCAGGTCCAGAACGGGATATGTCACTTCTGCCACTTAGTTTTACCTTGATGTCATGAATTGTATGAGAAATTATTACTTGAAATTTCACGAAGAAGTGTAATATGAATTATACACCGTGATTTTACTTTTGTCAGTTCAGTAAGACGACCGGTAATAGGGTCAGCCTGAAAATGTCCTATATTCAGACCCTCTGTCATAATCACAAGAGAATCTCTTGTCTGATGATGCAGAAGACAATGAATAGATGCTCCATCTGTATTTAAAACTTCCGTGCATTGTCCTTGAGCATCAACAAAGAAAACAACACCATTTGCACTGCCAATGTAAAAGGCATGATTGTCCCGCTGTGTAGAAATTGCTGTTGGTGCTGCAGTTCTAGGTCGCCAGGAACTAAATAAATCCAATGCTCGCTCGTCACCAGCGACAGCAGCTTTTGCTAAGCCACTAATAACATTTTTACTTAATTAAATAAATCATTCTACATGTATATGTCCAGTTTGCATCAAACTTGTGTACCTGATATCAACTGCAGGTTTTAGAGGTGCAAATTTGAATGCTATATGAGTAAATGAATCTTTCAGTTCATGATGAAAAGCCATAAGGAGTTGACCTCTAGGATCTATTTTCCAACCAACAATAGATCCAGCAGCATCTGCTGATACTAAACGCCCACCATGCTGACTCCATTGTAAAATTGTAATAGGATCTCGATGTGGTGTCACTATTACATTGAATTCACTTGCTCCAGAATCTCCAGGCCAAACCTAATTGCAAGTGATAATAATTATTGAAGGCCTCGACATTTTATCTAAAAACTACCAACCCGTATCTCTCCACTTTCCCATCCAGCTACGAGCCATCTCCTCTCTGGATGCCATTCGATCGCTGTCACTTGAGCGACAGAATGTCCAGGAGATTCTACGTCCTGAAGAGGCTCTCCTTGATCGTCACAAATAGTTACAAATCCTCCCTTATCCTGGGAATATGCAGCCACAGCAAGTAATGGATAATTTGCATGCCATGTGGCGTATGTGCTTATAGAAGCTGTCTCTGGATTTTGTACTCTTGTATCAAAGTACAATGACATTATAGAACTTTTAACAAATAAGAAAAAAACCTATTGTTCGTAACAGTACTAAAATTACTTATTCTTTTTTTTTAATAGAATGTACAAGGTGTATTATTAATCCCAAATAGCAGGTCTATTGCAATGGATTTACTTTTTCTCAAGTGTCAAACGCGGTTACCAAGGTAACCACTATTGCCGTATTGTTTACAGTGAACTTTCCATTTTGACAAGTCAAATCTATAGGAATTTAGCTATTCGTTAATTCTAACAGAAAGTATCCAACATAGCGAACAGTACAGCTTGTGGGCGTCCCTTTGTATCAGGTGGGACTGCATCTTGAATGTAATAATTGCTGCATGATAGCCAATCATCGCACCTCGTCCATTGGAATGAGCCAGTAGTTAGTCAATATATTTAATTCAAACTTTTCCTATAAAATTATCCAAAAGATTACATTGGGACAAATTTCAGCATATTGACCCTCGTCTCCTGTGTATTATTACTTTCTGAAGAAAATAAAGGTTAGTAATAATATTTATGAATCTTCTTCATTTTCATTGCGCATCAGTAGCTTTTATTTTGCACGGGAACATTTGAAACTGCATAGTTATGCGATGTCTTGGGTCATAACTTTCAGAACAAGTTTTAAATAATAGTACGGTCTGCTTTATGGACGCAACAATCACCTCAGTACAATAATTATGCACAATTAATCTATCCTAATATAACTGGTACAAATACAACTGAGGGATTTCAGTGAGCCAATTGATAATCAATTGGTCAAGACAACAGAATAAAATTAGTTGCGTCCAAGATAAATGCAAACCATTAAAGTAAAACTATAAAATAAGTCTTCACCTAGGAACACGTGTAACGTATAAGGATACTCCAAATGTATCCTATGCCATTTTTAAATACTACTTCCCTTACATTTATATTAGAATCGCAATTGCACAATGCTAGGGTTCAGGCTAGATGCGGTGAATTATGTCAATGTATCTTAAAGTTTACATAATCTAACATATTCATCATATATCGTGATAAAAGCAGGAAATTGGTTAGAGCACCTTACGAATCAAAATAATATACCAAGTTTTGAAAAATGTACAAGCATTCGTACAACAAAATTGTATATTTGTGTTTGGCAATCCTGCAGCAAAAAAAGGGGAAAAAGTTGCTTTTGAATTGAATGATCTATGTACAAATCGATTTGAGAAGTTTCAATCTTACAGAAGGAAGTGAAGTTAAAGTGAGGCACTTGCATTATTAATATGCACCACACTCTGTTGTATTATTATATCAAACATTAAAATTTCACATCCTTAATGTCATACAAAAATATGAATACTTTCTTAGCGTTTCTAACTCGGACTTAGTATTTTTTTTTCACACTTGTGTCGCGATTTTCAGTTACATTATTCATTCACAATACGATACTGACTTTTGACAAGAAATGTGAACAAATATGCGACATCATCTTCGTGTTTAAACATTAACCACGTTGGCTTACGCGTTATCTGTTACCTGATACAAGGAAAGAAATGGCTGGACCTGTACAATATTAACTCTAAACTGTGATGGTTCGTTGTTTTATTATTTTTTTTTTTAATAAACTAATGTGACCAACTGAATCCGTTTATAAAAAGAATCGTAGGAACCCAGCACATTCTTCACGTATGCGACATAAGTGAATATCTAGGAACCGCATCAATTTGTGCGTTAGTTTCATTCGGCGGGAATTAATGGTTTTCATTGTTAGACAAGAGAAACAAACCAAATTAATACCAGCGCCACAACACTCGTGCGCGTATGAAATTTGTAAACTAAACTTATTTTGACATGATTGAGTATTATGAAAATTACGATAAACGAACGTTGGACCTCGCATATGCAAAAGGTGTGTTATCGTAACGATTTGCAATATTTGGCGTTAAACTTTAAGTAACTAGGCTTTTCCCCCGTCATTCTCAAATGAAAGAATAAAAGACGGTAAATCGTTAGAATGGCGAATTCATACCGAGCTTCGTACCAAATTCCAGTCGCGCCCTTTTTTGGTACCTCACGTTTACTCTGTAATTAAAAAATTACACCACATGTATTAACGAATATTTAATCTTAAAAAAACAAATCGTACGTCAAAGACTTACTTGATTTCCTGCCACTTGACTAGTTCGTTTATCACAAAGGTCAGTGGAAGTGAGAGCAAAAAGAATAAAGGCAAATGAAGAGGAAAACTCTTTATCTTCTGATCCTCCTCTCTCCAGAATTGACAGAAAATTGTTCCAGAGAAAGCAGCCTGTATGCAGAGCCTAAATAAAATGATTTATAATAACGACATAACAGAAGTAATGAATAGCGCCCGAATCAAATGATAAAATAAATTAAGACTTACACTATAAATGCACTTAGAAACCAAATCCAATTGTTAAATGGCGGTTTTCTCCATAAGGAATATTCTCGATGCACAAAACTTATTGATATCGTTACTGAAACAATTAATAACTCCCATTAAGCAAAATGCTTCTTACTAATATATAAATAAATAAATAAATATATATATATATATATATAATATTAAAAATATATAATACAGTCCAATTACCAAAATGCAAGACTATTATTGACAGAGCAAAATGTTGCACCGTCAAGATCACGTTAGCTTTGGCGCCCCAACCACCCCAGGACACATCGCTCTCGGGATTAGGATAAATGTACAGGCACTTTGACCCCGAGGTCGAATATATTGGACACAGTGTCATTAAAGAAATGCACTGTGACAATACCACAGAGATGATAGTAGGCAAGAATTTACAACCATAGCACCATAGAACGAACAGTGCAACCTGACAAAAGAAGAAAGCAAAAACTTTAGCCTCGTAGAATTGTCTTTTTGAGAATCCAATTTTCAATAGAATTAAATGCGATATACCTGTCCGCTGACGATGCACTGATTTTTTCCTGTAGCTCGTTGCATTATTGTGGGATCCGTTGGAGTCGCCACCATCGATATAGACAACAATGGTATAATAAGGCATGACAGCCACATTACTTGACCGACGGAAAACAGCGGAGGAAGCATCAGGAATCCTGACAATGCCTGAGCAAATGATAAACTGACTACGCAGCATAGCCAGAATTGTACGCAGTTCCATACGCACTTCATATAATGACGAGCCTAGGAAATATTTAAGTATTTCTTAGGAAGGCTGCTATTATTATAATTATATTAAATTGAATAAGTTTTTTTACCTCCATGATGAGATGAAATATGGCAATAGGATCCTCGCGTTTTACGCTTAAGGAACAGGCTACAGAATTTAAAACTCTGCTCAAGTCCACCGGTGATGGACCCTGATCCTCTCTTGTTGGTATTAATACAGGAACACGTTGACAGACCTGTGGATATAGCGGCTCTACGGCTACCCTGTACAGAAAACATAAGAATGTTATTAAAAAAAAAAGTGCCATGAAATTGGTATCATGCAATTTTTAAATGATTTATCCCTTGGGTCGTGAACAATTTAGAAATTTAAGTACATAAACCGCTGAATAATGGAGATTTGTGAACGTATAGAAAGATGCGACGCGAAAAATTATTTCAAGAGCAAGGATTTTGCTTATTTACAACCCAAAACAAGGCAGTCATACGCATATCGTAAATCGTACAGACGTCCAATGATTAAGTTAGACACTGAGACAATATACAAAGCCTCTTACAGGAAACCCGATGTCAATTTTAAATTTATAAGAGAAAAATCTCTTGACAAACAATACAGTAAATTGCCTGGGGAAATAGATTTTTCTACAGTGCACAAAGCATCTTTTAAGTCCCAAAATGGCAAATCTGCAGAAATCGTACAACCCAGAACGCATCTTGGCTGTCCTGGCTGTCCCATGAATATGAAAACCGTATACAGAGATTCGTACATGAATCCTGGATTAATAAATACTGCTACGTGTAGACCGAACCGAGATAAATTCATAGTGCCTATGAAGATGGAGTCTTGTACGACGATGAAAAAGTCATACGAACATCCCGGTAAAGTGTGCTTTATAAAATATAGTAAACCCCAAGAGTCAAAATATTGTCCATGGATTACTAATTACGAAACAGACTTTCGTACCGTCGTCCAAGAATCTTATAAACCAGTAACTGTTGTACGAAGAAAACCTAGAGGTACCAGGCCATACAGGACTTTGAATATAAAAATCGATTGTGACACTACGTATGGCATGAGTTATTTAGCTCCTGGATGTTTTATTAAAAAGAAAAATTAAATAAATTTCTAAATAAAATTGATCAAATCATATCTTACGCAGCATCAGCTTGCATGAAAATTGACATGTTTTCTGCATTTGCAGAGGATCCCAGAACGCAGACAACTTCTCCATAGTCTTGCATAATATGTAGCATCTCCCTTGTCACTGCATTATTGCAATCCGTAAACAGAGACACCAGTAATGGCACATTATCTATCAATTCTAGATGCGGTCGTATCTTGTCTATACCTCGTGGTAATTTAGCCTTTAAGATATAAAAAACATTCTAAAATCACTTGTATATCACATGATTCTGTTTATCGAAGAGTCTCTTACTCTGTTAGACATGTCAAAATTAACTGGTGCACTCTGTTCGGTACTGTCAGTAAGACAGCTCAAAGATCTCCAGGCTTCCTGTCCAGATCCAAGGTCAACGCTTTGTACCAGAACACTATCTTCACTTCTTACAGTATCTTGCTCCCTGTTTAATAAATAAAGAAATTTATTCTAACACACATATAGCAACACTTATTTAATTTCTATAATACTTGCAAAAAAACAAGAAATCTCATGAAAAATGTATTTCTTTATTTCTATTACAACACTGCCAACAATATTTAAACTTTTAATAAGTAACTAATTTGTATTACAAGCATAGTTGTTCTCTAGCAATAAGTAAATGAAAACAATAATTACAAACACATTGAGGGGCTGACGTCATTGATCCAATAAATAAAGTTATGTAAACTGTCATGCATGAAATTATAAAATATTAATATACATTACATTAATATAAATATTCAAGAAGTACCTGTGACCCATAGCACTTTTTGCCTGGATTGGTTCAGCATTATTCCACTCGGTAGCATCATCATCAAATTTGACAGTAGCATACTCTGTATTTATGGCACTTGGTGCAGACATGCTCATCGCTCTGCTGTTATCCAGATTTGTGCTGCAATACAACCAACATTGTAACAGCATCCCCACAATTTGCCCATGATAATCGTCACTCATTCACACTTTAATCGGGTAAAATAAAATCAAAAAAACACAGTAGCAGAAGTATGCAGCGAGACGGTAAATACAATAATCCAACTAAAACCTACCAATCAGATCTTTGACATAAATTTGGCAAGCAACTGTCAAATCCAACTGGTACCTTTTAGCAGGATATTCCTATAAATCACATGCTTTCAGAGATTTAACAATATAAATGAGATCTCGGCTCATGCTAGAGTGACAACAATTGTCTTTAATATTAGCTTAATGAGAAATAAAAAGATTATATTCCCTATGAGGATTGATATTGTAATCTCCAAGTTTTTAAATTCCTCTTGAAAAAAAAAAGCCAGCTGCTTCATTACATATATCAATGATGTTATAAATATAAACCACATTATTTGGTTCCTACTTTATAGATGATTTAAACAAGTTATTTATTTAACATACCGGGGGGAAACATGGTTAAGCAAGTGGCTGGCCTCATCCATGCAGGAGTGGTTATGCTGGTGAGATTGGGCTGAGGGCGTGGGTGAGGACATGGCTGCTGCCTGGCTCACCCAGCAACCCACTGGACTCTCTGACCTATTATATGTGTTAATTTACATAGAACATTGATGAACACATAAAATAATTTGGAGGCCAACTAAGCCACAGGAAACTTGCGTGTTGATGATTAAGAAGGTTCTTTAAATTATAAGAGTTTGAGGTCTTATGATTACTCGACAAGGAGATATTGGACTTGCGAATAACAATTGTGATCTTGGTACTTATGTGTAGTGCAATTGGAACTAATTGTCTCTACGTGTGGATTGGATGGCACAATAGGGCTGTAGAATTGCATCTTGTGTTATGATGTTAATAATGTGTGTGACAATAAAACGAACGTGCAAATGAATGACAAACAATGAAAGAAATAGGTATAGACAAACATATACGGTGGGGTCATGTGTGGATATCTCTCCAGCCATTGCTGTCTCCTGTAACGTACGTGCACAATTTACATTCCCATTCAATGTTATTAGATATTTAATTTGTGTCAGTTTGTCCGTATATTTTCATATTGTATCGCTGTCAAAAATAAGCTAGTCTCAATTGTTACTCGCGTGTGCGAACGGTTTCCTTTTTTCTAACTTTTTAAAATTGTTTGCTGAAAAATTAATTCACAACAGATCGAGCACAAACTCTTTTATCGAGCGTGCGACCCCAGGCATTTTATAATCGTGTACATTGAATAGTATCTTGAGCTCTAGTTACGATCATCGCTCGTATCACATGTAGATTATAAAAAAACTAAAAAAAGAATCAGCCAAAAAGCAAAAAGCAAAAAATTCGGAAGTAAAATTATTATGGATTTTGATACTTTTCATTGAACATACCTAGCTCTTTCGCTAAGTAATGAAATATGACAATTCCATCCACTTTCCAGTCCCATCTTCTCCGAGAAGACACGTGATCTTAGTTCATTTTCTTTGCTAAAGTGAACGAATCTAATACAAGCTCTTTCTAACTGCTCGATCAATTGAACCTGTTAATTAAAAATTTTTAAATATAGAATTAATGAAATATCAGAAACGGAACGTCATGAGGTTTTCTCATACTAATCTTACCATATCAGTCTGTGCCTGATACTGCATGGTCACCATACCAATAAATACTTGATTACATTGCAATTCGAAGCAACTTTCCACATCGTTAACTTCCTCGTCTTTATTCTCGTTGCACAAAAGAGAATCTGAAGAAGTTTAATGACTTAAGTACATGCTAATAAATTAATGAAAAGATGGTTAATTACCAGTTGAATGAAATTGGCCCAGTATTCCCTTAACCCTAGGATCCAGAACATTTCTAAAATCCCAAGGCAATGGAGTTGGACTTCTGTGAGGTGTATAAAGATGTTTGCTGTCTGCCGGAAGCTCTAGATAAATATGTGACAATTTTCCATTGACATTCCTAGTGAGTGGTCTGTAGGCAAACGCAGTGCAGTAAGATGTCAAGCTGGTCCGTTGATAAAAATCCTGCACCTTTTTTCTGAAACAATCCTCACTCAAATCAGCCAATTTCCTTGCTTAACTATAACTGTGCCACAATTTGATCTACCTGTCGGAAGCAGAAAATGGACAAAGGTCGTGTCCATCCCAAAATTCTATACAGGAATCGAGAATAATATCCGCGGTTCCCTGAGTCAGTAATTGTAATCCTCCGCCACTGCGTTCCTTAACAACTACAGCTACCATGTGCGGAAATGGAAATTTTAATTTTGTAGCAATACTTAAAGAACGTGCGAATTTAATGTCACGCCTAACCATTTCCGGTTGCTAAAAAAGAAAAAGTTCTTATCGATGAAATTACTTTTGTATGCAAGGTGATTTTTTATTACACCTACCACGTGTCTGAAAGTGGACAGTTGTTGCTCCAATTGAAATATCTCCTGTGCCTGATCCTGGAATCCAATCTGCTTTGCCAGCTCGCAAAGACACCTACCATACGGAATAAATAAGATAAAGAAATTCTACTGAACAATACAATGTATGAGATGCGTGTGATAAGTGTTGACAAAGACCCGTCATGACATCCGGATGCAAATCCAAGTCTACCATACTAGATTCCAACACCAAATACAAGTCAAGAACTACAAGTAGAACAAGACCATATATTATTATTTTGACTGACCGCATCTGTCCGAGGCACGTTCCTGATTCATCGGTTAAATACACCTGTCTCGAAGAAGTTTGCATTGTATCTTTCGCCTCATAATCATTATTATCTTCAAAATACTCGCCCTGGCCACTGATAAGTTTGAACAGTTGATAATAATCATTATTAGTCCATGAGTTAACAATGTTACTTTGTCAGAATCACTGGACATTTCTAGCGTCAAAACGGTTCGATGCCAAAATGAATGTTAGGTCGTGCCGTTTAGTCGCATGGATTAAGAATAAAAGCACAAAGAAATAAAATCATTACGAGAAAGAGATAATTGCACTGTACACATACCGCCTGTTAGTTACTGGTACTAAATTTTCATTGTAAAGCGCCTCACAGGTAACGTGGCAACAAAATTGAGTGTAGTGTTCTTGAGTATCCATGTTGCAAGTGTTCAGAAGAATAGCAAGTCCCAATGGTTTCAGTGAGTTCAAGTGTAGCCTCCAAGCATGATCATCGAATTGCAATTTAAATGGCAAAGCGTGATCGTGCGTCAAGTCCAACACTTCCGCCACTGAATGAGACATGTCTAAAAACAATAAATTTTTGAACTTATAAATGATTGAGTGTAAGAATATGTACGTAAACTATAGAATAATAATATTACCATGATGCACATAGGTAGTTCTATGAGATTCTGGCTTCGCTTGCTCATTTTGGGTTGCAGTGTCAGATTGTTTTTCAAGACTTACAGTGCTGAGATTAAAATATTATCTATATAGAACGCTATACTTATTTTTTTCTTCAATAAATATAACATATTACAATAGAAAGTCTACCTTGAAGCTCGCGACATAGCACTTGCGTTACGCAAAAAGAAAACTTTTTCAGCTGTTGGATTCGGCCAGGAAAGTATTCCTTTCTTATCTACACAGCACAATGCCTATATTGAAAAAAATAATATATTATAGCTACGCTTCGGATAATTAGTAGAACAGCATAAATTAAATAATTAACTCGACTTACGGTAACGGATCCCAGTACGTGTAAAATGTTGGCAGATCTCGACATCATACGTTCCCTGCCGAAAAGGATGTCAAAAAAATATTCCTTAAGCTCCGACCAATTGTACACCACTTCAGGATGAGTGGGTCCAGAGATATCTGCATCTTCGAAAGGATCTAAAAACTAAATTAATCACTCATAGATCACATTACATATTGATTAACTGAAATAACATTTCTATCACTCTCGCTATACCTGCATCTTCTTTGAAGACTGGTACAGCTTGAACAGAGCCTTGAATCGAGCCATGCCAAAGCAATTCAAAACGATCCAACAAGTAGGAAAAATTAATGGCAATAGTGGAAGTGTAACAGCTATTGGTTGGAGTAAGAAGATTTCTGTCCAGTGACCTACACCAACATATTCAGTTAGGTACAAGTATCGGAGTAAGTTCACAACTAGGACCACGATGAGGAGTATCGGATAGGCCAGTTGTTCGATACTGCAGATCATAACGAGGTGACGTTCGCGATTGTGATACGTAACGGGCCTATCCAGGGCCTGATCCAGTGCCATCCTTAGGTTTATCAAGTAAGGTGTCTCCTGAAGCTTATAGATTTTATTCTTAAGTGGCGTCCGGGCTTGTGGGGATGAGAATATTTCATGAGCTGTATGAACTGGTGGACTGTAGACTTCTCGGGCATGTAAAACGGGCCCATCGGGATCCTGCGAATTCATTCTTGTTTGAATAATACCTTCATATACGTATATGTATTGTTTTTGAAAGGCCTGACGTATCTACACAGCACTTACGTCGTATGGAATACAATATCCAGGTATTTGTTGGCCAGGTTTTATTACGATTATGTCTCCTGCGACCAATAAGGCCCAAGGTAAATTGACTACATGACCGTCGCGATACGTCCATTGTAAAGTGAGGCACGGAGAGAGTGGACTGCAAAGATGGGGATAATTTTCTGGTTCCCAATTACACACTGATTTGGCAACTGTTGATTTGATGTTACATAAAAATAGTGTGAGAATATAGTGGTTTTTTAAAAAGATCCACGCTGTTGGTAACACAGTAGGATGGTACCTTCTATTTGTTTGAGTAAAACACGAACTCTTTGAGGAATCTCTTTATGTCGCAATTTGTTGTCCAATACGACTAGTGTAAAATTTAATGCTACTAAACAACAGACTATCAGTCCTTCATATGGTAGTGACGCATACCTAGAATCAGAAACAATCATTTGTATTACAAAGACTTTATGAAAGTTAAACATGTATAACGTACCATGTCTCATTAACTGTAAAAAATGCTATGACAAGTGTAATGGCATTTATCAAAAGTGCAATAGCCGAGGTCCAGCAAAGCGTTGTATATTGACTGCGATGGTGCAATGCATCCTTTAGCCATGCCCTGTATTTCCTGTAGTTAATAATGATTCGACAATGACATATCAATGAAAATAATAGGTATTTAATATCTTTCTAGAACATATGAAAAGGATTTTAGACGTACTTATTCTTCTTGCAATCTTCTTCATACTCATCTAACACACGTTTAATATCTCTATGTAGAATTTCCAAAGCAGTTGCAGTAGTCAACCCTAAATCCTGCTTTGTGTTTGTCTTAACTTCTTCCTCTGTTCTTGGAATATAATTTTTGCAATGGTCACCCTCCATTGCTAAATGACCAAAGACGCTCTGAACAATACCAAGTATTAAAAAATATTATGCACACTTATTTCTTTGCAAGTTTGCAAGATTCTTCTAATAAATATATATACTGCAACATTATTTTCCTCTTAATCTCTTGGAAGTTAGTAAAACATAAATTACTATAATATCTTAGACAATTGTATTCTAGAATCTATATAAATTACCCATTAAAAAATTTAATTAACATTGGATGATAAATTCTGAAATGCGAGTCAATGAATGTACTAACTCAGTAAAAGCGATGAACCAAAACAAATAGCGTCAGGTTAGTATCATTGTTAGAGTTATATAATTTTGTCAAATGACAAAACGTACCTCATTGATTTATGGAAACTTCGTCAATACGTTTAGCAGAATCGTTAATACATGACAGCACCGATCAGGAATACAAATAACTTTGCGAATATCCTCCGAATCGTCATGACCTGACCAAAATTGACCTCTTTGGAAGATGAGCCTAATGATCAAGTAGCTGTGGCGCTGCAGTCGATTTATCAATTAAACAGTTAAATATCACATTTTCAAGGATTCACTACATTCTGCTGGATTCTACCACACACCAGTTCTCACAAGAATATTATTCCTAATTTCGATTTTACAATACACTACCACATTTAACAAGAAGTGATTAGGCTACTACAAAATAAAGGTAAATCAATACAATTAGAATTGTTGTTTGAAATAGTTTCAAATAGTTTCTTGTTAAGGCTAGAATACCATTGTTATCAATCACACATTCGACTGCAATATCATTATGAAATGTTACAGGTTCAATACTAAAACTTAATACTATCTACTAATACTTCACACGACCAAATAAAAAATACCATAAAGCTTTCTAAATAAGCCGGATCTAATATATTAATCGTCCAGCTCTATTTTCAGTTTGTTTTTTAATATTGCAACATAGTCGCGCGTTCCAGCGTCACGACAAATTATACGTCTTTCATTATTTGAGGTTCTATCTTGTGTGCATGCGTTTTTAGTCAACAATTTTGAAGCTTTTTAATGGTTGTTGATCATCTGACACTCGAATGTTTGATAAGATAACCAATATTATCTTACATAGCTAGACTGATTCTGAAATTCTTGCATTTTGAATTTGGAAGGTACTCTACAGGTTCATTATTGCAACACGTGTATGTTCAAAATGTAAATAACTTTGTGCTAGATAAAAGTAATATTAAACGCGATACATTAAATGAACTTTGATTTTTTATTATGTTATGTAAAGGAAAATACGGATAAAAAGATTCTATAATCCGTATTGCTTATTATTTCTTGTTTTTATTCCCAAAGGATCTGAGTTAAAATTGTATATTACTATACATGTTTCTTTCACGCAGTTTTATCGATGTTGGTGATATAATATTTGGCTATCCTTCTTGTGCTGTGCTAGTCTGAACAACTTGGGGATTGTGACAAATATCAAGTACAATGACAACGTGTAACACCACTGAAAAACTTGATGAAGTTTTACAACTTTTTCTATTACCTGATTATAATGTCGTGTCTACGACCTATCTTGATCTTCTATTATCGCGAATCGCACAATCTGATAAATTAGGTAAGTCTTTGTTACAGATTTTATTATTTTTTAATCAAAAACAGTGTTTGTTAACGAGTAATTGGTTTCTGGATTGTATTTAACCAAACGTTTATAACAATTTAGTTTATAGTCAGTTAATAGTCTAAATGTTTTAGCGAATAGTAAAAACAATGGATACAGTTTAATTAGTGGTACAGGATTTATTTGTTAAGGTTTTACATGATAATTTATTAGCATAGAGATTTTTATAATGTTTGGTATTATGTTTTGTTAACTTGAATACTTTGAAATGCAGTTTAAGACCAGTAGTGTTATTGTTTATATAAATGTATTACAGGAATTTTAGAATATTATAAAAAATGTAAGATGTGGGAGCTAATTATATATGAGTTTAATCTTGTATTTTTTTTAATTATTATACTTGTTTTATCTATCAGTTTTGCAATCTGTTGAAAATAGTTAATATTGACACTTAAATGGTAAAACAGTAACAGTTTGTTATAAATAAGTAATTGATTATCTGAATTAACTTCCCCATAAAATATATTTATTATATTTATTACTGTTAATACTTAGTTGTTAGTCATAGTTGAAAATATTATTTTTAATCTTATGTTTCTATTCTCATCTTATCAGACTAAGGTTCATTAAATCGTATAGACATAGTAAGGTATATAGACATAGTCTTACATAAATATTACAAGATGTACTGTGATAATATTATTATTTTTCAATATTTTCAGTTGAAAAGTCTGACTTTGAGTATTTCAATACCTTTCAACACTGGGTACTCAAAGCTTTAGAAACATGGAGCAGTGGAATCAAACCTTGTCAAGCTGTCACAACATTCACTTTGAGACTCATTGGACACATTGGAAAGAGTGAAATTCATTTCCATTTTTGGTACCGTGAGAATTTATACAATAAGATCTGTGATGTTTTAAACCTTCACAATGATAAATTGTCAGTGTCTGTCAAAATGGCATATGTAGATATGCTTTCCAGCTTGTGTACTCACACAAGCGGTAGGCATTGGATTCTCGAATCAGGTAAAAATTTGTGTATTTAATATATCCCAAATAGTGTTTATTGTAATTAAAATATCAATAGATTATTGAATATATAACCACATTGTTTAACCTGCAATTTTATGCAGAAGCTATGTCATGTCACCGACTATTATTTCGTAATTGAATGAGGACGTGAAATAGCTGATACAAGTGCAAGCATGAGGTAATCCGTGACTAGTCAACAAGGTTTTTACATGAAAACACGAGTTAACTCATGACCGGTTAACAATATGATAATTAATTTCTGCTGCTTCAATTGTAACGGAAATGCACTTTTAATCTATTGTCCGTGGCAAATGAAAAGTAGCCACAACTGCTTCGTATCACTGTACCAATGACCTCAGCATGCTTACTAAACATATTGTAAAGCATATTTAGTTGTTTAACACATATATTTTTAAAAACGTCACAAAATAATTAACAGTACATAACTGCTCTATATATGTTCTGCCAATGATCATGCATAGTTTATTGTAATATCTGTATTATGTATCGATTAGGTGTATGGAAGGATGTTATAAGATTAGCTCACTGCAATCAGACCATATACGTCACGCGGGAGAGTCAAAAATTTATATGGACGTTGCTACTACACGAATCTCAAAGACCGCATATTTGTACGCCAATTATATTGGAAGCTGCACGTCCATTCACAGACAATACTGTCCACAACGAATTTCAAAAAGTACTAGAGGAGACCTATCTGGACCAAAACAAGTATCTCTGCTCGACAATAATCTTGTTAACCAGTATAATCGAGAACACAATGTTCCATAGCAAGGAAAATACAATACCATTATTAGTAATGGAACTTACTAATTTGGAAGCAAGAATAAAAGCTCTTTTTGAAGCATGCATTAGCACAACCTTTTTTCAACACATACATAAATTGCTAGTCCTCTTGATCTTTGTAAAACTGAAACAAGGCATATCACCACTGACCAAAGTAATAGATCAAGATGTCATAAATAATTTTCATGAAGACTATTGTTACATCCACAGATTGCTTCTTAATAAGAAATTCATAAAGGATACTATAAAGACACAATCGTACGGGCTAGTTTTTTGGAAAAAATTACAAAATATTTCCAATTTTAAGCAACCCAATGAGCACAAATTTGAACATCAAGTTATATGTCTAATGGTAATCCAATTTTTTTTTTAATATCAATCAATATTCATTAAATATGAGCATGATTTTAGGAATCCGTGTTCATTTTATTTAGGTGCTGCCACTATTTATCAGCTTGAGGATTTCATATTTAAATAATGATCTCTTCGAAACGTACATTGACAGAATGTTTGACATCACGTGTGCACCTGTACAAAGACTGGGATACAATATGAGAGAGATCATCTATAAATCTGATATATGTATGGAATCTCTTTCCAGGTACTCGCTCGATCAGGTTCTTCAAATAGTACACATTATGGACAGAGTAAGTATAAAGAAAAATCTAATTTACAACTAATATATAAAATCATGAAAATCATTCGACACAGGATGTAGCAGTAATCACATTCCAAACTATGTGTCACGTTTTGAAAAATTATATGATAGCATCGAGTGAAGAGAGTGAACTTTATGAAACTGATACATCAAACTTGTGTAACCCCCAAAATCCACCTAAAAAGAGATTAAACAGATCACTGTTCGATGGAGATGCCATTCAGCAGTATCCATGTTTACTATCATCGATATTGAATGGTCTGGCTATTATAACTGAAAAGTTTAAGATCAAATGGCAGGAATCTGTAGAAACAATTTGCCTACTGTCATTGGCACAGGACCTGCTAAATAATAAGCAAATTTCATCAAACGTAAGTTTTCCATTAAGATTTATTAATTTAGTTTAATTCTAATTATTATATATTCTCATAGATCACCGTTCAAGCGTTAAAAATCTGTAAATTGTCAATAGAAAATTTCATGCCACCGCAATTGGCTTTACTGGTCGATAATCATGGTCATATTGATGATTTGGGGCCAACTTTGTACAGGAGAATACATGATCCCAATTGGGAAGTCAGAGATAGCGTGTTAGAAACACTGAAGACAATTGCCATGATATCTGAGTACAGTAAGAGAATCTTTCATTGTATTTATATTTGATAAAAAATGTTAATACGGTATCTTGATTACCAGAGTATCCAGCATTCCAAAAATTCCTTGTGAAAAATGACTTTTTACAAATGGCAGTTAGCATTACATTATCGGATGCCGAAAGCTACGTGAGAGCTTCTGCACTGTCATTCCTTGCGATAACAGTCAGAATAAATGAATTGTGGGAAGAAAAGTTGTGCGATGCAAACTTAGCTGTAAGTTTATATATAAGATTGTCATAAAATATCGCAACTGCTTTGATTTCTGTTGTACAATTCTATCAGTGAGTGATTATTTTATTTTTAAAGGACATAACTATACAGTTGATGGCAGAGGAAACCGAAGCAATAGTACGCAGAGAAGCAGTGATCCTTATGAAGGAGCTATACGTTCACAGAAAATGGTCGTAAGTTCGATTCATTAACATTTTATTAATCGAACAAATTTACATAGTAATAATTTGACTGATCCTCTTCTTGGTCACGTAGAAAGAGCACTGTCGACATAATGTCACGCTCTATGGCAGTTGCGGCAGTTTTGGATCTCCATTGGGAAGTGAAGGTGAACGCCATTGAATATTGGAAACAATTTATAATTAGTCACTTCACCGATCAAGGTATGCTGGATGGTTCGTTTCCAAGTATGACTTTTTCAAAGGAACACAGGAAGATAATAGCTCTGAACGAAACTGAAATAAAACGACGTATCAGAAAAGCACTGGACAAGCTGGCCGAACAAAGTTGTCTAGGGGTAAGAAAATTTGTTGATAACAGCTCTGGTAATAATCATACGGTTTTTCTTTTATTTCTTCGTTACAGTCGTTCATTTATTTTCTTTTTTATGCTATATCCAGATTCTGCTAGCCGCCTTGGAGGATGAGAGCGACTTCGTGGTATGCAAAGCTGCGGCGGATGTGATAACTCAGTTAAAAAACTTTTTGCTCAAGTATAAGATCGACGAGCCCGTTCCAGATAGACCATTACCGAAAGATAGCGCAACCATAGATAGCTCCTATAAGAAAGAATCTCCTCCTCCTTCTCCTCCCACACCCTCCACTAGTCTTCCTCCTACAACTCCTACATCTTCTGTAACTGCTACTTCTCCTACTTCTTTCGCTGATAGTGATGTTCCAATGGCCAGCGATAAGGGTAACATTTTGGAGTCCATTGTGGAAAGTGATGACATGAACCTCCTGGCAGCTATATATAAAGACTCTTTGAGGGTCGGCGGTGAAGAACTGAAACTGCCGGACCATAACAAACTACGGGTCGTTGCGCAGGTCACACAAGTTGAATTTCTTAATACTATTCTTAATCTCGATCTTAATGCTTACATAGAGGAGAAGAGTCGATGGCTTCAGACGTATACTGATAGCTTCGAATCGATTCTTGATGATATTTTGACAGTTTATCATACGAAGAATGTGATTTCGATGGATTGTTATTAAATCTTATCGTCATCAGTGAAACTTTTCGTATGCAACATTGAAGTTTGTGTATGAATTAATTGTGAGCCTTGTGAATATTGCTTTTATTATATATTATTAATATACCTTAAAAAATTAAAAGGAGAAAGCATAGTGTCACTGGTTTTATATTGTCTGGGGTAGATCGTGATAACAGTGTGACGATTGAAAATGTGAAAATGAAAAAAATTATTCTTAAGCATAATAATTTTTTGTATATTTAGCACCTGTATATTTTAACATGTAGTAATAGTAGATAATAAATTTGTATCTCACCTGTATGCAGAGTAGGAATTTTGGAAATTATTATTTGTAACATAAATGTACAATTAGTACAATTTTTTGTCTAAGCTATATCATTGATTCATTACTACAGGGGTATGTAGAATGTATTAAAAAATGTATACTAAATGGTAGAGTTTGTGACACACGTCGATTAAAAAAAACTTTATTTCTAATTATTGATACACTTATGACGAAAGAGAATAACTTACATAAGGGATGCACAAGAAACTTTATATCAAATGATTTATGCCTTAATGATTTTGTTATATCTAAAACATTAACTGTTCTGCCATTTTCTCCTATCTTTAATATTGAGATCTTTTAGTAAAAGTGATAGAAATGACGTTTATAAATGATGGATAAAACAAAACATAATATAATCAAAACATATAAAATAGGAACTGTCTCCTTAGATTAAAATGAAATAACAGAGAATAAAATGAATCTATGCTTGAATAGGATTATAAATATGATATTCGCACTGATGTGACCGGTCTTATTTTTTTGTACTGCCATTGCTCTTCACACTTTTCGCATAGAACTTACACATGAACACAGTCGAAATGATGTACTTTCTACTTTGTACTTTCAAAAGAGCTTTTTAACAATGATTTAGATAGTACTATGATGGGTAATGATGTGAGAAGTATCATTCATAGAAGTGTCAACAAAAGCAAAACTTGTACTTGGCATATCTTCCAATCTCAATTGACAAGTTTCGTTAGGAAAAGTATTGACAGAGATTTGGCCAACATTATCTGGAGTGTAAGACATAAGAATAGATTGTTCGTTTGTAGTTTTCAGATCCATAGACATTTCGTGAATAATTGGATTCAAAACAGTCATCTCGCAGTCTTCTAGTTTTATGTATTTACCAGTTAGTAGATCTTCTAATTGACTTTCCACCACAATCATTGAATTCCAAGAACATTTGTCATCCATTGAATCTTGTGTTTTATCAATAATCATAATCTCTGGGTCTACATTTTCAATCTCAATACTGCAATCTGGTTTTAGAATTACATCCTGTTTTTCAGGTTCGTTATCTATTGTAGGAGTTTCAAGTTTTATATTACATTCTAACGAAAGACTTTCAGTTATAGGTTTCTTAGTCATTTTTCTGGCTTTACTCTTTGACCAGATTTTTCTATTTTGCTTCCCTCGCGCCAATCTTGTATGAGTACTGTTCTTCTTTAAAGGCCATTTTCCCAAGAGTATCTTATTCTTTATCTCATTCAAGTCCTCGCAGAGACCATGAACACCCTCAAGGAAGGTCTCGTTACTGATATCTACAGTTTTCATAAGTTCAATCTCCAATTCAGTGAAAGGGATATCTTTTTTTACCTCTGCGCTGATATATTGCAAACTTTCACGTTTCACACCGCTAGAGAAACCTTCCACTTTAGGAATCTTAAAGCTATGTTGAGAGTTATTCTTCATATTTGTTACATCAAATCCATATTCTTTTCCTGCATGTACAGTGTTTACAAAATTCAATGCACAATTGTTATTGTTAGAATTATTGTTCGTATCACTCAGTAGATTGGCAGACAGCATATAGAATTTTGGTTGTTTAGTAAGATCACTGGAGAAAGATTCAGTCGACGTTGCTATATCAAAAGCTGGATCTCTTATGTTTATAAGACCTTGAAGACTGATAGCAGAGAGGGACAGCTCTTCGGGGGTGTGCTTGTATGTCTGATGATAATGTAATTCACCCACAGAAAGAGTATCCAGCCGACAAACAATGCATTGGTACTTCGAAGTATTTAATTTCAATGAATTTTTCATCATGCTGTTCTACAAAAAAATAATCGGTAACGTAACATGACTTGACCTTTGTCTTTATGAATAGAATTTTATACGCACCAGAATTATTTTCCCACGTTCACCTTAATATACAACTCTTTGCAAATACTGACTCACTCCTGCAACTGCCCTTACTGCATTTGATTTATTTAGAGTGTCTCTCTAACGCTAAAGTACAAACGGACAATCGACTGGAATGCACCTAACGCTAAGTGCACCAAGGGTTATGCCAAATGTCACGTACGCACGTGCGCCCTTAGAAAGTTTCAAAGTGCGCGCCACTGGTAACAAGAGATCGCCAATCATTTTACAGATGTCGCTTCTCTTTCTCAACAAGGGTGAATCGACAGGGGTTGAAAAATCAGTAGCGTGTCACACTGAAGATGTCAGCACTCTCTAAAAAAATTCAAATTATTATAAACAGTCGATATATCCCATATTATGGAACATTATCTCTAAAATTTATCGTATCTAGTCAAATCAATAATAATTTTTGAGTTCTTGAGCATAAAATATCTTAAAAACCAAATTTTTCTAATTTTTAAAACTCACACTCTCGAGTCGTATTCAAGAACATATTTTTTCGTACAGCTTCGTACACTGCGTCGAGAATAAGTCTATACCAATTCATTTGCACTTTCTAGATGCAACAGTTACTTGCTATTTACTTTGAAAATAAAAAATAAAAGATGTGCATCGACAGTAAAAGCATCCAAAATTCAGTGTCAAAGCGCATGCGCAACGACCGGCTTCTAGAGAGATCTTCGCGCGTATTCGTACCAACGGGAACTCAGTGGAAGTCAGTAGCGCGCGACTCGTTACGCGAGGATGTGAGAGAGGGTAGTTGTCTTGGCGAGGTTTCATCTTATGTGAGAGAAGAATAATAATCATTGCTAAAAAAACTCCAATCCACGTTTATCCAGATCGAGTGATCTAAAATCTCTTGTGCCGAGTGAGTGCTGGTGCTTCAGGGGTTTCCCCCGTCGTACGGAGATGTCATTTTACTTCCGAGAAAAACCGAGATTCGGTGACAGGATGCGCGGAAAGTCCAGGGATGAACTCCTTCAAGAACTCAAGCAACAATTCGACGACGAGAGCAAATCGTTTTTCGAACCAACTGCCAGAAATACACGGGATCCCTTTGAGCGCCATGCCGGCTTTTCCAGAGTGAGTACACTTCACGAACTTCCTTATTGTAATATCATACAACTTTTCTTATTGATTTCGATTTTCATTTAAACAAATCATTTTTATCTACACGTATTATTTTGAAATAGTACACCGGTTTTCAAAATAACTACGTTCCGTTCGTTCTAAAATTACTCTATTACACTTCCCCGATACATTCTTCGGCAAGACTTTGACGTACGTTGATATTCAAAATTTTTCCTATATTATATTCAAAAACTTGTTCGCTTAACAAGAAAAAAATGTTTCATTGTTCTAAATATTGCTGCGCAACTCTACGCTTGTTTGAAGTACGCTTGTCTACGTTTAATGTACGTTCTAAAATAAAAAAATGTACCACGGAAACAACAGCCGCTTCTGTTTATCGTATTTCGAGCATTGCTGCCATTTTATTTATTTTTTCTCCTCTCCGTGTCTCTCTCCCTGTCTCTCTCGAAGCGCCAATTACAGTTTACGCTATTTTGTCTCCTAACATCTTTCTCTTTTTTTTCTGCTTCTGCAACATACCTTTAGCACGTGCCAATTGACAGAAAGCCTATAGTCGTATTTCCAGGTCGCATTCAGTACACGTTACACGATTCCCGTACGGTCTGGTATCAATTTCTTTATTTATAGAATGTCCCAATTTCCATGTCGTTTCGGAAGCAAATATTTAGTCTCTCTCCAACATGACGAGTGTTCTCCCTGCGATCGGTATATTTTGAGAGAGATGGAGCAAGAGGAGGCAACCGATTCGTGAGAGAGAAAAAAAATGACGAGAGATATACACCCCATGGAAAATGTTACTAACGTGATTTTAATGTTGTAAACAAATTTTGGATTGGCCCCTAATACAATTACTTGGAACATACTGCTCGCAAAAAAAATGTTGATAAAAATCGTCACTTCGTAAATACTAAAATAGCAAACATGCAAACATCCAGAAAGGTCGTCATCGCATCTTTCCAGTTCAAGAACATTAATTCGCAAGACAAGTTTGGATGTATATACATGTATATAATATATAGTGTGGTATGCGGATTCCTCATGATATGCAATATGTCGATTCGCCTAAGTATCTATAAAAGGTTCTTCGTGTTACTGTACATCGTGACTCTTGGGGCATTCTTAGTGATACGTCTGAAAAAGTCACAACCAGTTATCAGCATAGCGTATAAACGTCTTATCAAATCGTTTTCAATATACCTGAAAACATATGGAAATCTTAACAAGACTGATAATCGATGTTCCACATACAGTGTATTGTAACCTGCAATAGATAATATATAGATCGTATATAACCATTGTAACGATTACTAAACCAATATTAATCTATGGATAAATATCTAATACGACTCTTATCTGAATATCGACAGATTAAAATGGCCGCCATACGATCGACGCAGTGATCCATCGTTATGAATGGACGCTTTGAGGTTAATTGCAACTTGCAAGCTATTTCAATTACTTGTTCACTAGACTAAAAACAAAATAACAAGGCATCTTTGTACACTGCTGTAGCAGTCATGCGGATTCGCTCTTACAGTAAATCAGACGGAGATACGGAGAATCTTCAGTTCGTTGTTATGACTGGCTATTTCTACGAAAAAAAATTCTTCCACTGTCACAAATTCCTTACCTCATCGCGTACCCTTGAGAAAAATCCTCTGCAATTTCCTGAAAACGATTTCGGAAACGTATTCGACGAAATTGCAAGCAATAAATCGACGAGTCTCTGTGGCATTGGACGACGCTGAAGCTCGAGTAACATAACCTCCAAAGCTTTGTTTCGTCCCGACGCATTGCTCCGTAGAAGATTGAAAGGCTTTTTCATTTCATTCAAGAACCTTCAGACTCATTTATTCCCTTACGGTTCCTGGGGACGATCGTCTTGATACTTGTCCCAAGTGTCAGTGGTGATGGTAATTCGCTATACTACCGTCTAGGTAGCGCCACCGGAAATGGAACCATGGGACTGCTATACAAGAGGAACGATCCTTTGTTCGGTCTTTACGACTTGCTCAAATTTTATTAACACTACGTATCTGCTACCCTTTGTCCCTTCCTTTCGTGGATGCCTTGTCACCCCTCTGCAAGCAGGGACTGAAATTTCTCAATGCAATTTCGCCGCCATTGTCATCGAATATATTGACCATTTCTTTTTCTTAATTTGTCAAAATTCATTTTTGTGAATTTTTTTTAACTCTGTTTTACACTTGCGAAATCTACACGAGGCAAAGAAAGAAAATTTTAAACTCCCCGCGTAAATTTTTAGTTCTCGTGTCAACCGTCGTTAACCTTCTGAAATTATGCGCTACGGCTCTCGTAAGAAATTATTTGATCCTATATAGGTACCTTGTCTGTCAGTGTCGCTATATTGAAAACTGACGTACCACACTGCACTTTCAGTTTACAAGTCGGAATCCTCTTTGCCACGCGTTATCTTCCTGTCTATCTGAAACATTCAGTATGCCAATCTTCTCGGCTGCCAACGTTGAATTTGCAATGTCTGATTTTTACCAGCTGGCTTTCTCAACCGTATCAAGTATAACTTGGCGTATCTCATATATGTTTACTCTTATGAAATCTTGTATACATTACACACACCCATATGGATCATTAGTGCACTTGTACTGGTGGACTCGAAATCGAATGCTCTTTTGATTTTCGAAAGAAAAATTGCATCGTCCCATTGAAAACATTAAAGTCAACCTTAGGATTACCCTAACGCCTGCACTCAGATAGGAATTCAATAACGTCCCCCTTGAAACCCAACAACCTCCGTCTGAAACATTTTTTAAAATCTTTGTTTCCGAAAAAACAAATCGACCCGATCTCTATAAACGCCCCACCCTGTATATATAAAACATTCTTTTACGCGTATAACTAAACAAGCTATACGTCAATGTCCATCGTTGGCAGATTAAATGGCATCGTGACCGAGTAAATTCTGACGGATGTCATTGATTGACAAAAAAATTTTTTTGCTTTTTCAATTTTTTTACGTCACTTGTAATTTCGCAAATTCCACCGGTGTTCTCTTTGAAAAAAAAATTTATATACAGGTCACCTTTCTTTTTGAAATTTTTTTTTCACTCCAACGTTCGACAGTCGCGAAAGGCTTCTCTCACTTGAATTGACACAAGTGCATCGAAAGTGGGCTAACCTTTTTTTCCTCTTTATTTGGTAGACGTTGCCTTTCTTATTTTTCTCGTTGCTTCTGGTCTTATCGTAACGCATGTTCGTATCTACGTATCGTCGGAGATGCCGGGAGCTTGTTAAGATTTTATTTTTACCGTTAGCGGCCCGGGGCAGTGGTCCAAGTTGTTCTCGTGAATTCTACTCGCATTTATTCCTTTGCCATACCGACCGAACGTTCAAGAATTAAGACTAAGAGAAACAAGAGTGCGAAAAAGAGAGAGTACCGCGAAATTGTACCTGATAACCTAAATGATTAAGCACAATGAGTGACTGAACACTTTGTACAGTAGCGTTATATGTATAGTCACCCGGAGAAACAGGTACGAATGCCGGACATAGACCCAACGACGAATATCTTAATCAATATAAATATCGAATCGATATCTTATCAATTTTAATATGAATGTAAAAAAAATTTTTTTTACTGCCACGATAATTGGGAAATAAAAACAACGTCGCGCAATACGTTACTTGAAATATTTTGTCAGACGTTTTACGACTGATAGCCGTTTCGTTTGAAGTAAAATGAAAATCAGCAAATTTGAGTCATGTAGACCAAATAGAAATTCTAATCAAAATTCACGACTAAGCAGCTGCGATTGGTCAGTTCTAACGGCATGAATGAATCTAGGCTCGAACTTAATCGATAAAATTAGGTCCAAGTTCATAATTAATCTAATGGCTGTCGCGAAGAAAAATTTTGTTATTTTGTCCGACGAAAATTTGGAATATAAATTTTTGCGAATTCTTATCTATAGCCACAAAATCGCTGGATATTGCGACGTCCCTGACTATATAGATGCCGTCCATAAAATTCACCCTAGTTCTACTACCCAAGTTCCCCACGTGTTAGGGTGAAGCAGAGTAGATACAGAGGGGGTAGGTTGGTACTTCCGTTAAATGTGATCAATATGGCGTACGATATATTTTGCTATGAAAGTTTCCTAGAAGGGTACGCTGTACGCTCGTACTGTATAGAGGGAGAAGTAGCGGCCATTTTCTATGAGCTTAGAGGGCATAAAATAGAA